ACCGACCAATACGCCCCCCATGATGTATCCAACATGGAAGAAAAGGGCCTTTGCTACGCCATGGCGCCGGCCCGTTCCATCTGCACAAGAAGCGCCCACGGAGTGAAGAAGACGAAGACACGGATCACGATTACGCTCACGGCTAAGGTCGACGGCTCCGACGCTCTATCTCCGCTCTTTTTGGGGCGGGTCAAGCAGCCGTAGTGCTTCAAGAAGCGCAAAGTGTCTCGGCTCGGCTTCGAGTACAAGGCAAATCAAAAAGCGTGCATGACGGGTCAAGTATTTCGCGAATGGCTGCTCAATCTCGTCCGTGGTATGCGGGCGGCGGAAAGGAACATCTTGCTGCTAGTCGACAATGTCTCCTCGCATAGTATAGGTGAGGTTGAATGCACTAACGTTCGTCTAGAGTTTTTGCCACCAAACACGACTGCTTTTCTGCAGCCAATGGATGCAGGAATAACTGCCGACTTCAAGCGCGCGTATCGTAGATAGCAGCTACGGTGGGTGTATGAGAAGATTAAGCGTGCCGAGCAGATTAAGTAGGGTGACGTCTACAAAGTTGACCAGCTACAATCCATGAAGTGGAGCAAAGAAATCTGGCAGGAGCTGCAGGGCAAGGATACAATTGAACTTTTTCCGCCACACCGGTATTGTCTTCAACGGAGTAGACGAGCGCAGCAAGAAAGAAACTAGCTACTGGCAAGATATCGGGGTAGGCGATATTATTTCCCACACTGCAGACCTGCATATCGAAGCTCTATAAAGCAATTGCAAATCTCACAGTGCGGTCGGACCAAGGTACCGGAAGTGGTAGAGTTTGCTATAGAGGCGATTAAGTCGTTACGACTAACGAAATTATCCCCGGTTCTGTACCCATCCAATGTACCCATGTCCATGCTATGTAACTAGTGTTACAGGTGCAACGTGTTGAAGTTGGCTGTACGGAATTGTTTTGGAGCCAATATGGGGGAATTGGGAGGTCGGAATAATTTTGGTGGAATGGCACACGTCGTACCTACATAGTAGCATATCTAAATCGGTTTGCTTAGAAAAAAGTTGATTTTGGCACAAGTATGCATCGAAATTTATTGAAATTTGGACGCATGGTCCTCCCAGTACTTGCGCACTTTGGCGCCTTGCTTTTGAATGTATTGGCTCAGTAGAACCTTAACTTCTTTGGCTAAAGATGCTAGCGGCTCCCACGAGTCTTCTACGGACTCTAAGCCTTTTCAGCTCACTAGAGTCTCGTAGGCTTTAATGGTGGAGCTCCAGCGAAGCTTTTTTAGCTAGCTGATGGCCACACAGATGCCTTAAGAGGCCACTTGCTCGAGGATTCCCTCGGTAATGTGAAGACTAGTGTCCGCATAGAACGTCAGTCTTGATGGGTGGACATCTAGCTCATCTCCTGTGACCAGGTGGCGTACCCGGAAGGAGTGGGCGTCCGCGAGGACCACTATGTATGACCACTGCCACATGACGAGGAGCTTGTTGCCTCTCGTTACGTCAACGCGTGAGCGCAGCGCATAGCCGCCCACAGCAAAGTTCACTAAATTCTCGCCGCGCTCACGCTTTTTGTTAAGCATGCGCTGCTTTAACCCACCGGCGACCGCACTTATCCCGATTTTGCTGGGATAAGATTAATATAGGCATTTGTATACTGGTGGGATAGGGTAAGCGAGGTCCCCAGCGGCCTGCCCCGACTCTTCGGGTTCTACCGGCTGTCAATCTCATTGGTCAGATTTATCCAATCAAAGCTTGGATACGGCCGTAATATTAAGCTCTGTCGAGATTTCGATCGAAAAAACCTTGACGTAATTCGCAGGATAATGCAAACATTCGCTAAGTGAGTGAATCGTTCTGAGCTGAATATCGCGGTTGATGGACGTGCTCGGCAGTCGCTCTGAGACTATCCCAGGGCAAGGCACGGCAAGGCACCTGAGGGACGCCTTCTACTGCAACGACGAGACGTACGAGGCACAACCGAAAGCAGAACAACTCAATCTCGGTACGCTGTTTATTCTAGCCAGCCTGTTGCCCCATTGTTGACATGTTTCTCGACTGCAGTTGAGGCGAGCGCAGGCGCCCCCCCCTCCCCCCCACTCCATCGTCAGTACACTACTCCCGCCTGACTTCCTCCTTCCTCTTCGCTATGCAGGGCTACGTGCAACGGGGTTATACGCACAAGTGGCTACAGTCACTTGTTACTCTAACAGATGCGATGTCTGTTAGAGGTTTGAACACTTCCTCGACCTTGGAGTAAGGTACACCAATGGCTACATACATTTACGACCACCAAGACGGGTGGTCCATACACATTTAGGATTCCTATTGGCTGAAAGAAGCATATTTTAGCTAATGAGTGACTTCCATGTTAGCAGAATCCTGCCAACCAACCGTCGGCAGATTCCTAGTTTAGAATATTACATTTAGAGGAAGTCAGAAACATAAAACAAAAATAGTAGTTCTCATCTTTTACCAAAACCCGCTACTTGGAGTTATCTTGTTTAAAGTATACTCGTGGATCTCGAGTATACTTAACTCAAGTAAAAGAAACCTACGCTTCCTCACACACGTGCGCATACGTGTAAGCCGTAGTAGTGAGCCAAGGTAGTCCCACTACACTACGGCTACTCGCAGTACCAGGCGCACTCGCCGCACCACCAGCGCAGTGGCGAACTTCCCAGGCTCTACTACAAATCCCTGGACCACGGCACCAATAGCGGCGGCTTCAATGGCCCGGCGTGCATGAGCTCCAGCAGCACGTGAACCCGAACAGCATGCAGGTCCAGCACCAGGCCCCACGCCGCAGCAGGGGGACTTCGACTACGAGCCCATCAGCACCCAGGCCAGTACTACGCGCTGTCGCCCAAGGTCTATTGATACAACTGGAGCGGCTCTCAGAGCCGCTCTGTTGGACGGCGGACATATGTCAGTGCGCACGGACCAACGTTCGCGTGAGGTGGCGTCAACCATCACAAGACACTGCAGGACGAGGCCGGACGATCAAGCAGTCCGTCGTGTAGTGCGCCTAAAAGCAGGTGGATCGCCGAGGACCAAAATGGCGGCGTCGTCAGCGATGAGAGCTATAATACCCAATGCTGCTGCTAAAACCAGCTCTCACTGCAACAGCAGTCTTTGCAGGCGAATGCAGTGAGTATGTGTTTTAGTGTAAGGGTCTAGTATAAAATAAAATAAAGGCATTCCATAGAATCGAGCGACAGTCAAAATCTGTCAAAAGTCGCGGTCGCTCGGCAGTGAAACACATCGTGTTTGCGAGGGGGGAGAGATCTTCTCCGAGAAGATCATGGCCGACACAAGTATGTACACCGACGACACGGCGGCCGACAGCAGCAGCACTCTGGGCGGCAGCAGCAGCGATGACAACGAGCGCTCGAACCAACAGGAGCTCACAGCGCGAGGGTGCTCCGAGAGCCAAGGGCAGCTCAGCGATCAAGATACCGAGTTCGACCGCTCCTCCTACTTTGTTCTCTCGGACCCTAACTACACCTACGAGGCTGTTCCGGTGCGCATCTATGTCGTACTTGTGGTGGCTATTTGATATTTAACCGTCCTGCTTGCATACAACAGGCTTTCACGCCGGATGTCAACCGAACAGCGTCAAACAACAAGAAAAGTTATGGCAAACCGATGTCTGTAGGGGAGGTACGTGCACGTATCTTTGGTATTTCAGTGGGCTTCACGATGGCACAATTCCGATCTATGACTAGACGTTGGAGAGATTTCAATGGCATCAGGGGTTCCTTGATTTTCACACCCTCCAGTCAGTACGTAAACCTTCACACGACCGAGTGGGTATGCGAATTACTTGAGTTCCGAGGCGTAGTCTAACAAATGTTATTATGCAACAGGTTTACGAGCCTAGATTCAGGTCTACGAACCATGTAGACGCATTTCTAGCCGCCCTTCCGCTCTACGAGATGTATGCGCAGTTTCAGAATGACGAAGACTCGAGTCACATCTACGCGTGGATGCAAGCGTCCCTGAAAGCCTCGAAGGTATTTCACGCGTTCTGTGGTGCCAGGTGTACTCCCAACGCTAACATGCCATTGTCCTCTGTGAAGATAACGCTGTCTATGATAAAGCGTCAACAGCGCCTGTGCGAGTGGGGTATTGAACGCTTAGACGCTTTTCTCGATTCCCATGTTGAGCACCATATCGCCATGGAGGCAGATGAATCGTACGATGAGAATGCTATCCGGGAGCGTGTACGGTCGACGTTAAGGATTTTTGTACATGTTACCAGAAAATCCTTAACTATTAATGCACGCGTCCCGTAGCCGCTCGCCTATGGCGCTCGCATTTACATGTATTATCCGCGCGCTCCGTGTGCTATGCGGTATTTCTACTGTAACAGACAGCATGTGTACCAAAATAACGGTACAGGTCAGAGAGGTCGGAGAAGATGACAATATGCGTGTGATATGCTTTTATCTTAGAGTCTGTATGCACATATATACATATTTTGCGCTTCCGGTATGTCGGAGAGCGGACCCACCTAACCCTTTTGGCGTCGATTGGTCGAAATGCGGTCATGAAAACACTATGATTGGTCTAAATCCATCAAACGTGCTGTGATTGGCTATTAAAGGGAATACAAAATTTAAGTAAGGTCGGAGATTTAACGATATTCATCCTTATCAGGCAACGTCTTCCAGACTCCCTCGCCCGGGCCCTCTGACTTCGTTTAGGCTTTCAACTCACTCCTCAACTCCAAAGTTGCCGATGGGTTAGATCCAATGCTGCGTGTGCAGCCTCCATCTGTACAAGACGATTGCCGTCATCAAGAGCAAGCGGAACCCAACTTAGAAGGAATAGCCAAACGCGATGACCAAGCTGATATTTAGCGGGTCTGGGCAGCTCTTAACCAAACAGTAAAAGAGGACGTTGTCACAACCTTGCTGGTATACTCAAACTAAAGAATTAAACTGTAAACTGCCCGTGTATTAACGCATTCGTTATGCATCAGCTCCTGCGCTGGGTTACTGTCGGTCAACAAACCGCTTCAATAATTGCAGCTGCATCTCCCGAAAGCGCCGTGTCGGTTCGTGCTGCCGCTGTAGCATAGCTGTCGATTCTTGGAACTGGCTGCCACCTTCCTCTCGATTACCCATCGAAGCCGCGCTCGTCTCGATTCCGCTGTGCAGAGCCGAAGCGAGCTGAATAACGGGGGGGGGCAAGTCTTCTGCGTTTGACTTTGCTGAAGCTTCCGATTTTTCCGCACTGGCATCATCGTCGTTGTCCAGATTAGTGCCCAAAATCACCTCGCGACTAAGACCGGCGCGGGACGCGAATGCATCGTTCAAAATGGCCCATAGACTATTGTCGACTTCCCTTACATAGCTGTTGTTGCCCGTTCGGTTAGCTTTGCATGTTTCCTTCGTTTAAATGCACTTGAACTTTCGATACGTTTGCTAGACCTACAACAACACCAACGTCCAATACCACAAATTATTTTTGCTTGGTGAAATTACATGCAGTAGTGGATCATTATACATGTTCTTGCTTGATGGTCATTCCGACTGATTGCGAAAATAGACTAGTAAAACGTTGTCAAGCGAGCGAATTTTTGATTTTGTTACCCGCTGTCTCGAGGCGATGGTTTACCTATCCGTTAACAAAGCGTAGTCGCCGCAACTCGGTCACCATCTCATTCGTCCAGCGCAGACGGTCTTCTCTCTTGGTCTTTGATCCTTTCTCGCCTCGGCTAGACTTCATTCCCCCAGCAAGGTTCATGTCATCGCTCATCTTGGGGCTTGGAGTAGGTGCTGGTGCTGGCGTTTTTATCCGGCATCCTTCACCACACGTTTGCAGAACTGCCAGCGGCTGTGTTCGGAGGGGGGGGGGCTGCTTTGGTGGTAGGGAAGGCTGTCAACGCCTCGGGCGCTGCTGCTGCTTGGTCGCCCGGCGAAGCCACATAACAGGCGACGGGTGATGCTAGGACAGGCTGGGGGGGCGAGTGGCACCCCCAGGGAACGTGACACGCCATTATGCATGACTACAAGGAGCTACAGCAGCTAGGTGATATCCAGAAGAGCAGACTTCCAGCAAACAGGAGCTACAGCAAGCCACAACAGGCTAGGCGACATCCAGGAGGGCAGACGCTAGGAAGAATGGGCGGCGTCGTAGCTAGTTGCTGAAAGCCAATATATTTTCCCACTTTTCAATCTACTTCGAGCTGCGCAAGACGAAGTTTCGGGCTGTGCAAATCACTAGTTTTAGTGCCTTTCACTAGTGGAAGAGTCGGTCTGTCAACGGTCGCTGTGCACGCTTCGTCGACTTCGAGAAGATGAAGGCTATCCTGGTCAGCAGTCTGAAGGTGGACACCAAGCAGACGGACACAAACTCGCGGGTCTCGATGCTGTTGCATCAGCTGTATCAGTTCCTTGAAAAGGAGAACATGTAGTGGTTGATCAAGTCGGACCCGAAGAAGGTAGTGCGCTATCTCATTAAGGCACTGGTCCAGGTGGCAGCGCGCGCCACGAGAAATTAAAAGTACCAGGTTTAGGCTAAGCTGCGCTAGTCCATCGGTGCACCCGGCAGTTTAGTCCGGTGTTCTGTGACAAGTCCAAGTGCTGACTGGCGGGCAGCCATCCGACAAGCGGAGACAATTGTGCCTGCTCCATTTCCCTCACTCTAGATTCGACCGACACTGAGCCATGGCGCCCTCTGACGATATTCCTGATTCTCCTTCCGATCCGCCTGCACCGCAGCCCTGCAGCGACCGCCCGGGCATCGCTATCAGCCAAGTATGGCAAGACCAAGGCAAACCGCCGCGTCAAGTGGACCAACGATATGGTTGCCGAGCTCCTGCGTCTGAGGTTCCACGACGACCAGGTGAAGCGCCGGCTGGAGGCCGCCTACACCAATGTAAAGATGGCGTTGGCGTGGCAGCTATTTGCCAACGTCATTTCTCAATCGCTGGGCATGGTGATCCAGCAAGAGCAGGTAAAAGTGAAATAGCTACATCTTATGCAATTGACGACTCCTAATTTTTTTGCGTTTGCGTTGCATGTAGGTCTTCTCTAAGTACCGGAAGTTGAAGCGTATGTATCGAAAGGAACGGCGCGAGTTAACGCAAACAGGAAACAACCCTAGTCAACGAGAGATTGATGAAGAGCTCTGGGCCATTTTGCATGATGCATTTTCACCGCATGAAGGCATCAGCGGTGAGGTATTGTTCGACTCGTAGCTTGAAGAAAACGAGGAGGACGCTACTCCAGCGGCAAACACGGAGGCGGCACCAACGAAATCAAAGCAGCCGATCGTGCAGCTGGCGTCAGCGATGCAAAGCGGCCTAGAAGTCCTTGCAGCTTCGATGGCCCCCGCTCCATCATCTTCCGAAGCCGTAGAAGAGTTAGCGCAAGCGGTCAAGCAGCAGACGGCGTTGCTGCAGCTTCAACTCGAGGAAAACCAGCGCATTATGCAAATGCAATTGGCCATTATGCAGCAATTAGCGCATCAGTAGAAGCAAGTGTCGGGAATCTAGATCTGCATTGAGCTTATTTATAATGTAGCTAAAACTTGCCTATCAAAATGTCGGCGATGCCGTTTCGCTTGGCAACTCCTTGAGCATGCGATATTGGCAACTCGGGGTCGGTTGCATCCTCATGGACTATGCGAGGAGCGTCAACCAATAGGGGGTCACGTCCATCGATGCGCTGCGAATCCTGTACTAGGATGAGTAGGTTATGGAGCACAACACTAGCGACAATTACTCGGCAAACACCTCGCGAGGTTTTCTGCTGGAGCTTCGACAGCAGGATACGAAACCGATTCTTGAGCCGACCAAAAGCACATTCAACCACTATCCTGGTGCGAGAATGCACACCATTGTAGACGCGCTTTCTGCGATCCGTGACAGCATCGGCCTCTGGATACGGAGTAAGCAGGTGATTCCACAGCTTGTAACCAGCGTCGCCCAGGAGATGACGGCCAGCAGGAACGTATGTGGAGAGCCTATATAAAAATAAAGAAAATAATTATTAGTTAAGAGGCAAATAAGTTGTAAGTGATAATATCTTACCGTTTCTTGACGGCCGATCCGTTCCATAGCGACTGGTCATTGTTAGAGCCAGCACGAATAGAGAGCGACCTGAAAGAACCTACGTGGTCCACGACGGCTCGAACGTTGACAGCAGGAAACATCTTTCTGCAGTACCATCCTTCCAAGTACTTGGGGCGTTGAATGGGCACTAGGGTGCCGTCGATAGCACCGACGACGTTCGTGAGCCCGGTTATAGCCTCAAACCCAAGCTCTACAGACTCTAGTTCCTGCTCAGTCGGCATGCATATCTAGCGTGTAGCCATTCTACATCTAGCATTTCGTTAATATAAACAACCGAATGAGTGTGCGAGATGCCTAACGGTATCCCCGCTTGGTCCATCTGACCCCCTGAGCGAGATAGTACATGACGAGGGCGACACGCTTGATGAGCTTGGGCTTGGCGTTGGCCGCAGCCTTTTCGGGGCATGCTGCGTAGATGGCACGGTAGATTAGCAAGAACGAGGCCTTGTCACAGCGGAGTTTCTTACGGAACTAATCCGTCTCCTTAGCCTCCAAAGCCTGCTCAAACGTAGTGCTGCTGAACGTAGAGACACAGCAGCGCTCGCTGCCATGCCCGCGCTTGTCCCCAGAGGCTACTGCTGCTGCCGTCGCGCATGCACTCGCCACCACGGCACACACGACCGCCACTGTCCTTTTGTCCATTCAAATTGTGCACGACGCGATCAGAAGGAAGGCTCGAGTCTCCAGAACAAACGTTCCCGCTACAGAACAAGTGGATCCGGTGTTCTGAAAACGGTTTCCCCAGAACACAGATCTACGAAAATGGTACAGTGTACCGTCTAACTTTTGACCAGTAAGCAGTCGTTTAGATTTCAGTACAGAACAGATTCTGGCACTTGAACCAGGGCCTGATGCGTTGGCGACTGATCAGTTTAAATCCGTCGTGTAGAAGAACGTGGAGAAGGAATCGAGCAAACCACTGCTAAACGATATTGTCGTATTTGCCGTATGGTTGTGAACCAGCTGCAAAGAATATAATCACTGGGAACTGCCTATCGCGGTGCAGAACAAGCGAGGGACTGGATTTGGTGGTCCAAGCCAAAAGGGAGAAGGAGCAACTCGGAATAGCGGTGTACAAGGTCAGTCGCCCAGAAGTAAGCCGCCGGCACCGAAAACTAGCGGTCCCAGCGCGAAGAGGGCGCCGGTATAGTCCTGACCGTGCTTGAAATGCACCAGCACGGAACATCGCATCAAGGGTTGCCCTAGTGCTCGGCCGGTTGAAGCAGCGGAGCTGATTTGTGGGCGTGAACCGAATTGAGTGACGTGAACAGATGCGAGCGGCAAGCGGCAGCAGTATTAACTCGCTTGTAGGCAAGGATCGAGATCACCGTGTGCGGCGGTCCTGATCGAAGAAGCCGTGACGGTGGAAGAGATCCTGCTGGACACTGAAGCAGACATTGTGGTGGTCTGTCGGGGCCTGGTTCGAGAATTGCAGCGGAATGATGTTCAACTGAAACTGATGAGAGGAACCTCATGGCCGCGACTTTTGGGAATAAGCCGATCAGAGCTGTGCGGCATATGATTTTCACCAAGGTGGAGCTAACAACAGCGACTGGACCTCCGGTGCTACGTCACTTGAGAGCCTGTGTGCATGAAGGAGAAAGGGAGACGTCGTCGCTCATCCGCGCACATGTCGTGATGCGGCGCGTAGGTTATTCGGTAGACGCGCTGTTATCAGAAGCACACGAGCAGCAGGAAGAATTTGACTTGGAGGATATGGAATAGAGCTTGGTTGGAATGGCCCTCATCGAGAAAATTGTGGAGTAGCGGCCTCGCAGAAATCTCGCGGGGCCAGTCTCGCTCAAACTCGGTGCATCTTGATCGCGGTCACGTCGAGTAATTTATAATACAGACCCAAGTCTTCGCAGGCTTCAGAGTTGGGGGGGTCTTGTGTTGACGCTTGTTCCTTGTCGTAGGGTGTCGAGCCTCGGGCGTGCGGCGTTATTGAGTCGGCGTTTCCTTGTCGTTATCAGGCCGCCGTTTCCTGGGGCTTATGTGGCGTTATCGGGTCTACACGGGGGTCTTGTGCACGGCGGTTATCGGGCCAGTGCGTCCTTCGCGTTATCGGGCTCCCCTAAACGGTATACGTTTAATGTGCCTTTGTTCCAGCACGGGTCTGTGGGGGGTGAGCACCCGAACCAACCAACGACGGGGGGCCGCGATATCGGGACAGCTCTGCTTGCCGGCGCGTGGTGGTTCCCCTGGAACCGTGACGATCATCCGAAGAGGAGAGGTCTGAGTGGTTCAGAGAAATTTCGGGACTGAGTCCTTACTGTATCCTATGCCCTTGCTACTGGCTACTCTGTACTATTGCTTGCTAAGCCTACCGTTCTGAGCCAATCCCTACTTCTGTCATGCTTGCGCTACCGTCCTTCAACCTGATTTGCGTAACGTAATCACGATCTTGCCTCGGCGTGTTTTGGTCGGCGGGGATTATGTTCGGCGCGTTTTGCAGAGACGGGCGCGCTGGTCGACCCGTTGAATGATTACGCGTCGCGCTGGATCTTGGCGCCGTGTCTCACGGCTCATCATCCGCGTCGACTTTTCCCGTCGATCTCCGCCGCGCGTCGCCCCCATCAATCGCGTCGCGTGCCATCAACCGCGTCGAGTTTCATCGCCCGCGTTCGCCTTTGCATCTTCTTCCCCGCGGGATTCTACACCACAAAATCAAAGTCGCGTTGCTGGAAGTTGTTCCCCTGTAAAGAGCTTACGGCGATGCTCCTTGAGGACAAATCCGGTCAAAAGTATGATCCCTGGGTTGTTGTCAAAACGCGCCCGTCAAAAGTTGAGGCGACACGCGAAGAGAACACTCGCTTGTGGCACGGGTTCAACCGGGGAATGTGGCCTGAGATGGAGAACCTACAGCGGGAGACCAACACAACTATCTTTTCGAATGGCAAAGTGTGGTGGAATTCGGATGTGTCGATGTACTTGCTGCAGCACTTCTTTGGACATCAAAGCCGCGAAGCCGACCCCGTCATGTTGATCTGGGACGATTTCAGCGCTCACTGGACCGCTGAAATCGTCGCTTATGCGGTCGAGTAAAACGTGGTGCTGCAACAAGTACCCCGGGTTACACTCACAGTTGTCAACGTGCTGACATCGCTTGGAACAAGCCACTTAAAGATGGGATGCGAGCGGCTTGGGCGGTAAATCTGAAAGCACAGTGTGCAAAGGTGCTCGTGCGCAGTGATGGAAAAGAGATGGCACTTAAAGCGCCCGGTCGTCAGCGTGTGCTGAGGTGGCTGCACGCAGCATGGGCCGGTCGTAGCTCAACTACAGTGAAAGGTGGTTTCAAGCACATTGGCAATCTATTCAACGGGTGTGAAATCACGCCGAGTATGCCTGTGCAGCCAGACGAGGTAGACGACGAACTTGTAGCTTCCCTGGAGGGCCTGTCAAGGATCGATACTGAGGTAGGTGGTGTTTGCTGGGACGACGACATCGTAGATCTGTGCATTTACAGAGAAGAAGATTTGGCTTTACCCAGGTAATCCAGCGCATTAGCTCACTTGGTATCTGACTCTGCATGTTGCTTTTATCATGATCTTGAGATTAGTCTGCAGTTGGGGCGTGACACTTCACACCTAGATTACGGTACTTCACTCCATCCGGTTCGATGACTCATACCAGCTCAAACTACCCACGCATATAAACATTTGGAGGGCCCAGTGCGGCACTGGGGTCCCACCGGTGTGATGGGTATCCTACCGGTTACTGTAGGTACCAAGAGGAGTCCTGCGTAGCAGCACTAACGTTGCTTCCAACCTTTATAACTGAATACCCTCAGTAAACCGATTCACATTTCATACTCGGAACTGTGACTCATTTTTCAGAATTGTGACCTCTTCCAGCTGGATTTTGATTGCGTACCTACAACATCATTCTCTCTTGCCCACACTCAGAAAAGCGGCGTCGGACTCTTCCTCTCTTTTCGCCTCCTAGTTAGCCCCCGCCATAGCCATGGAGCTGCACGTGCGCGCGTGCTCGGCGCGAAACCTGCTGGACAAGCAGACCTTCGGCAAGCAGGACCCCTACTGCAAGCTCGCGCTGCGCAGCAAGAGCTTCAAGACGCGCGTGCACGACAACGGACGTGAGTGCCCAAAGGCCCTCTCTGTACTTGCACCTGGTAGCTAACCGCCTCCTCCTGTTGCCACAGACAAGACGCCCGTGTGGAACGAGGTCTTCGTCTTCTCCGTCGTGGACCCGCAGCTGGACCAGCTCGTCGTCGAGGTCAAGGACAAGAACTTCACGTCCAGCACGCTCATCGGCGAGTGCCGCCTGCCCGTCAGCATGTTCCTCAGCGGCAGCGTCGTGGACCAGTGGTACACGCTCAACAACGGCTCCAAGCGCGCGGGCGAGATCAACCTGCGCGTCCAGTACAAGGGCCGGGGAGCGCAGCCGTCCGCTGCTGCCCCCGTGGCTTCCACCGAGAAGGCCCCCAAGCAGGCCTACCCGTACCCGCAGCAGTCGGCAGCTCCCGGCTACCCGGCCGCCCAGCAGTACCCGGCCTCCAGCGCGTACCCGGCCTCCAGCGCGTACCCGGCCTCTAGTAGCGCTGCTACTACTGCCGCAGTGGCTGCCGCTGCTGTGGCCGCCACGTCCGCGCCCCAGCAGTACCCGCCGCAGCAGCCGTACTACCAGCAGCCGCCCCCGCAGTACTCGCAGCCTCCGCCGCCGCACTACGCTCACCCGCCGCCGCCGCAGTACGCGCAGCAGCCGTACTACCCTCCCCCGCCGCCTCCGCAGCCGGCTTACGGCTACGCGGCCCCGCCCCCGGCCACGGTGGCTTACGCGGCTGGCCCTCCGGTCATGGTCGTCCAGGGAGGATCTCCGTACGGCCACCACCACCATCACCACCACGGCTCTCCGCGTGGATACGGCGGTGGCTATGGCGGAGGCTACCGCCACGGCGGCGGTGGCGGCATGAGCACCGGGCAGATGGCGATGGGTGTCGGCGCCGGTGTGCTGGGCGGAATGCTGCTGGGCGAGGCACTCGACGACGTCTTCGACTAAGCGGCATGAGGATCCTCACACAACTTCATCACATCTCGCCAGCATAAACGGGTACTTCCTCTCCTTCGACGTGATTCCAAGTGCTGAGGGCTGGTGCAGACACAAACTTTGACTCAAACAAAGAGGTAACGTCGAAATGAATTTGCGTTTGTATTTGCTTGTCATGCGTTCATTGCCTCCATGTATGCAGTTGACTATTTTGGGTCTCTAGGTCTGTCAAGGGCAAAGCAGCACTTACTACATTCCCACGCCATGGCCGAGCTGGGGCTCTCTCGCGCGCCGGGCACTACTAGCTCGTCGTTCAGGCCGCCCTCTCGCCACTCGCTCGAGCCCGTGCTGGAACAGCCTTCCCCGCAACGCAGGCGCGACTACTTTGTGGCGGATGAAGACGTGCCACGCGCAAGGCCCGAGCTTCAGCGCAAGTTGCCCTTCCAGTACCATGGCGACGTGTTTGCGCAGCATGGCGAGTACACAGACGCGGGGCTCTACATGTCACGGCTGCCAGCATCTCGGAAGGAGAAGCAGCCTTTGTCTGCGCGTGTTGGGGCCAACTACAAGCTTCACCCCGTCAAGTTGGCCCCCGTGACTCCTACGAAGCCAGCATCGCAGCAGCAACCCGAACGAGAAGTCAGTCCCGTGGTGCTGTCTATCAGCCCCAAGGCCGTAGACGCGAACGCGAACGCGAACAAGTCCAAGCCCAAGAGCAACCGCAAGCGACAATATGCTCTGGCTGTGGAGGCTATGGCGGTCAACCACTCGCTTCATATAGCACTGCTCAATGACAACGTCGTGCCGAGTGTCATGGCGCTGTGTCGCTCCAAGGACGTGGCTACGCTTGGGGCATGCGTGGCCACACTGGGCCATTTGTCCTGCGAGCCCGAAGGCCGGGCCATGCTTCTGTCGCACAACGCCCTATCGCTGTTGTCGGCACTTGCGCTCTCCTCAGCGCGCACTCACGAGAAGCTCCTACTGCCGAACTGCGTGGGCACCCTGGCCAACCTCACGATCGAGGATGGAAGCGAGAGCGGGTTCATCAAGGACAAGGCCCTCGACTGTCTGCTGAAGCAGCGACGAACGTCGGTATTAGCGGAGCGAGCTTGCACCTTCGCCGTCTTCAATCTGTCGTGCCCTCAGTACGCGTATCCGCGCGTGGACGACGCCGTTCATGCACTCGCAGAGCATGGGAAGGATGCGCGCAACCGCGAGACGATCAGCCGAGCTGTTTACAACTTGGCGTGTACGCGGATGAACCACGTGAAGCTGGTTGAGCCTGAGGCTGCCTCATTGCTGCGGGTGCTGGTCGGATGCCAGCAGAGCGAAGCTGCGCGTCTCAACTCGCTCGCTGCGCTCTGGAATCTGGTGGAGAGTGGGGCGTGTCGTCGGGCTCTGGTTCGGACTGGTGATTGTGTGCGCGCTGTGGTGGAGGAGCTTCCTCGTCTCGGTCTTGCTGCAAGTGAGGAGTACGTCATCTGCGCGCTAGGAACGCTGATCTGCCTCACACGCGAAGCACACGCCCCAGAGCTTATGGGCAACGCGGGGGCTCTGGAAGCGTTGGCTGCGCTTGGCACAAGTGCCCAACGACGGCCAGGAGTGCTGCTGTTAATATACCGCTTGATCGCCATCTTACTCTCCGCACCCGACAACATCCAGGGTGTTGGCGAGAGCGTTGTCCACTTCCTCCTCGCTTTCCAGCACGAGAGTGCAGGCGCGGACAGTGTCTCGCCTTCTACGTCCGCAGCCATGTCCCGATACGTGCTCTTTGCACTAGCGAGCATTTTGTCGTGGAACGAGTCGGACGATTCCAAACTCGAGACCTCGAATCACCGCACGGCTGCACTGTCGTCAAGGTCGTCTCCGCTAGAGCTGGATGAATTACTGGACGAACCCCAGCTCCTAGAGCAAATGTACAGGCACGTAGCGTATTCAGGCTTCCCAGTTGACAGTACGCAGGTGCGTCTGCAGATGGTGCTCCTGTTCAACTTGTCGTTCCGATACCCCAAGGTGGAGGTTGCCAAGCTCGCCCACGAACGGCTGAGCCAGGTAGGGGCTATCTCGAAAGACCGCCACATTCTCACGCTGCTGGGCGGGAGCTTTTTCAGTCTGTGCATGGAATACGAGGTGCACCACTTGCTCCTCGCTACCGCCTACGCGACGACAGACGACAAAGGCGGCTTTCTGCTGCAGCGCTTGGCACGAGATGGAGATGTTGAAGCGCAGAGTATGTGCTTCAACACAGTCTGCATTCTGTTCGATGGTCACTCGCTCACTCGGGACGAAGTACTGAGGCTCATGGACCGGATCTTCCCCGTTGTGGTCGAGGTTTGTACGCGCAGGGATCATATTACCAAAAGTAGGGATGTCGCTGAGGACGCTGACGCCAAGTCTAACCGAGGGGCATTGCAAGCAGCGTGTGCTGCGTGCCTCACACGCTTCGCGAGCGTGACAGAGTATCGCCTTGCAATGGTGGAGCACGGCCTTCTCAACGCGCTGGCAGTGCTAGCTGGATCCGAGGATGACGAAACTCTGCGGCTGTGCGTGCACACGTACGCCTTGTTGTCGCAGGATAGAGCGGTTGGCGCGCCACTACTGCGCGGTGGTGTTATTAAGGCTCTGACGTTGCTGGCTGCCGCTCCCGAGGAGGCTGTGCGTCGAGCGTGCGCCGTTACCCTGTGCAACTTGTCTGCCGAAGTCGCACATGTGGAATCCCTGGTAAAGCTTGGCGCGCTTCGGGCTCTGCTTGTTCTTGCCTGCGTTAAGTCGAATGACCCGGAGACCCGACGAGTGTGCCTCAAAGCCGTGTTGAACCTGCTGCGCGTTGCAAAGGCAGCGGCGATGCAGCGCTTGTGTGACGACGGCCTGCTTTGGGCCTTCGGGATCTTCACGGACGCGATGGAGCCCAGGGACTACGCTATCCTCTCGGACGCCTTCTGCGTGCTCGCCACGCATTCGTCAGCGCGTGCCGGGCTGATCGCCAAGCCTAGCACGGTAGCTTCGCTGTTGCAAATACTCCGCTGCAATGACGTTTGCTCCACCAAGGTGACGGTCTTGAAGGGCCTCGTCAATCTGCTCGCCGACGCTGCCAGCGCAGCTGTGCTCCTGAAAATCGGCGTTCTATCTCACCTTGTTGCGCTGATTGAGTCGGAGAAGGAGGCCGAAGTGGCAGGAAATGTGGCCGAGCTACTCGTGCTGATCTTCCAGAACTGCTCGTCAGACGACAACGACGCGGCAGCTGGAGCGTATGCAGAAGCAGCAACCATGCGTGTCATCACGTATCTCGTACATGTTGCCGAACAAGAGGAACTGCATCGCGCTGCTGAAGCTAGCAACACTGAGATTACGAGCTGCGCCCTGAGCTGCGCTGTCTTGCTGCACCTGCTATCGTTGCACAGTGTCACGCGACCAGCACTGCTGCTTGTCCACCCTCCGCTAGGCACAGCACTTCCAGCTCTCCTGCTGCAGGCAAAGGGGCACACTCAGACGCTGCTGCTGCGATGTCTCTACAACCTCACGTGCGACGCCAATCTGCTCATGCACATCCCGATGAACGTCGTCATCCCATCGCTGAAGGTGGCGATAACGAACCAGCACGAGACCACATCCAATGGGGATGAACCGAAGACTGCAGCACTGTGTGCAGGGATTCTACGCAACATCTCGACGTCTAGTGACTGCCACGACGTGCTGAGCTCCGAGCCTGCGACGACGTTATTGTGCGAGCTGTTCGCGCTGGGAGGGAAGCTATGCCGCGAGAATGTGGCGCTGGCGACGTGCAACCTCTTCCTGGGGCGGGTCAACTCGCACGTGCTGCTGTCTCGGGGCGTCCTGCCACTCGTCCTCTCCTTGTGTTTGCCCGAGTTGGCGTCGTCTTCAGAAGCGCACACAATGTGCTCGGCCGTGCTGCGAAAGCTGGCCATTGCACCGGGCAACAGCAAGCTGCTGCTGCGTGGAGGCGCTGTCCGCCACCTCGTGCTGCTTATGGGTGGTAGCTCGTCGATGTTCGTCAGGATGAACTGCGTCGCCACCTTCGGTCTCTTGGCCCAGAAGCCTGGCGTTTCATCTGTGTTGGCATCGCAGGGCGTACTGGCCTCCGTGCTGGAGTTCCTGGAGCACTTGGAGCAGCAGCAGCACGTTGACGCCACACTGGGCCCCTGTGTCGAGAGCATGTGCGTGGATCTGCTCTCGAAGCTCGCCCAGTTCGCAAACGCCAACGACCCGCGCGAGCGTCGCCTGTCGTCACTGCTGTACCGAGTTGTCGAGAAGGAGGACGCCGCTGCCTCCTCAGCTTCACTGCCCAGAGCAACGCAATCGCCCGCCGCTGAATCGTGGCAGAATGACCGCAGCTTTCTGCACCGTGACCAGAGCGGACCGCTACCCCCAACGCAGATCTGCACCGTGCTTGTGTTGACGCGCAGTGCTGCTCCGGTGGTGCCTCATGCACCAAGAACAATCTCGTACCCTGGATACGCCATTGAAGTGAGCCCCAGTGCCAGCTACATCGAGATGGGGACGATCGAGCCGATACTGCCCCCAAGTGATGCTTTGGACGACGAGCAGGGCGAGGAAGCGGATGCTCGCGTGCAGTCAGCCGAGTTCACGCCGCCGCCGATGTTCCCCAAGATGAAGAACCCCTTCACGCCTCTGTCGCTCTCCGCGTTAACTGCGTCCAGCGGCACCTCGGCCCAAATCAAGAGCCCGATTCCTCTCAAAGCGTTGCAGTCTAAGCTGGTGCCTCCATTGCCTCCACGAGCAGCGGCTGCACAGCGAGCCCCGTAACACTTCCAAGTAACTTCCCGTGAAGCGTCGCTACTAGGTAAACCCACGGACATATCAGTATGCAGCGGCGACCGCAAACGCCTGCAGCAGCTGCCGCCTCAGTTGGGGCTGTCAAGCACCTGCGAGCGCAGGGCTCCTTGCTGCACAAGCGCTCAACACCGCAGCACTTGACGCTCGTGTCGGTGAAATATGACGTCAAGGAGGCGCCGTACGAACGCGTTAGTGAGGCCTTTGGCGTGGAGAACCACCCGCACATTTTGCATGCTCTGGAGGAAGGCGAGCCCGTCCTGCGTCGTCGCGTGCTGGAGGCCTTGGCGTCCGTGCTGAAGCTGCCTCAGGAGCTGGTCGTGTCGATGAAGCACGGTCTTCTCGAGCTCGTTGAAGGCGGGATCACTGGCGGTGTCCATGATGGGGACGCCTCAGCAGCCCCCAGGCAGCTAAGCGAAAGCGACGCTGAACTACAAGAGCTTTCTGCGCGCGTGCTGAGCGTCATGGCCGAGTCTCCATGCGGCCAGGCGGAACTTCTGAAGGGTGAGACGATCACGCGGATCAAGCCCGTCTTCGCGGCTGCCGCCAACAAGCGCACGTGCCAGCACCTCTACGACGCGCTGCTGCTGTTGTCTGCGTCGTTCACGGGGGCTCGTCAACTCTCAAGCGCCAGGTACCTCCCAGTGGTGCTGGACCAGCTCAAGGGCTGTCGTCTGAACGACGCGCTGCGGATCCGTGCGCTCAAGCTGCTCAAGAACCTGGCGAACGACGGCGTGGACGCCACGACGTTCCGCGCGCTAGAGCTGGGGGCGGTGGCGCAGTGCGCTAAGCGGCTGCACTCGCCCAACTCTGAGGTACGCGCGGCGGCGTGCGATACGCTGGCGGCGTTTGGCTTCGCGGACAAGGCGCGCAAGGCCGTGGTGGAGCACGGCGGCGTCGTGCCCAAGCTGTGCGCGCTGCTGACGGACCCGCAGTGGCAAGTGGCGTCCGCCAGCGCCGGCGCGCTCATGAGCCTGGCGGCGAACGACGAGATCAAGCGGCAGATCGTGGCCAACGAGGGGCTCGCGCCCGTGAATCAGCTGCTGCAGGCCAACAAGGTGCCGCTGCAGCTGCACACGACCAAGCTGGTGGCGGTGATCACGGCGCTGCCGGCGGCGCGTAGGCTGCTGGACGTGCCGGCCACGACGCTGAGGCTGCGCACGCTCATGCAGGACGAGAACGCGCTGCTGGCCAAGGGTGCTAAAGTGGCGCTGGCGGCGGTGCAGTGGAGGGCGTAGGAGAGGGACAAGTAGCGGAGACCTTGCAGGGCTCGACTAATGCTGCCTCTGGGGTGGTGTTGCTGCCACGTCAGACGATTCAACGAAATGAGATGGATACGCTCGTGTGGTGCACACCATAGCGGGAGGGTTGACATCTGATTTGCATACTTTAACCAGGACGAAAGCGCCCATACCGCACAACCAGGGGGGATTGATTTTCTCCCGCCTTTCAGGCACACAAACCAAAACTCAGCTCAAGGCTCAGCAGCTCCAAGCTCCAGTTCGCCCCAGTCAGTCAATTTGCCATGGTGCGTCTCCTCTCCTCCTCTCGGCAGCGCCCCCCTGCTCAGACAGAAGCAGACGCTGACGCTCTACTTCCCCTCTCTTTCCCCCCTCCCTCTCGCTCCGCTGCCATCCGCAGTCGTCCGGTGTCGGTGTCGATGATGAGGTCATCACGCAGTTCAACGACTTCAAGCTGAAGCGCGCCCCGCACGACTACCGCTACTTCATCTACAAGATCGTGGACGACTCGGAGATCGTGATCGAGTCCACGGGCCCCAGCAGTGAGTCGTACCAGGACATGGCCGACAAGCTCGCGCAGATCACCAACGACTGCCGGTACGCCCTGGTGGACCTTGACCTGACCACGAAGGACGGCCGCCCCACGAGCAAGATCGTCTTCCTCTCCTGGTACGCGCAGCAGCAAAAGCAGCAGTCTCTGCAAAGACTGTGAAGCTCTCCCCTTGCTTTTGAGCAGCCCTCTCTAACCGCCACGTGTTGTTGCTACGTCGTGTTTCGTTCAGGTCGCCTGACACGGCCCGCATCAAGTCCAAGATGCTGTACGCCTCGTCCAAGGAGGCCATCAAGCGCGTGCTCATGGGTGTGGGCATCCACCTCACGGCCACCGACGCCTCGGAGCTGTCCCTCGAGTCCATCGAGGACGGCGTGTCCAAGTTCCTGTAGACAGCTCGGTCGGATGCGTTTGGTAGATCGGATTCGCCTCTTCCCCCGTCGCGCGAAGTGATGCTCGAGTAATCCCAACACATTTGCATTTCTGTAGCTCTGTCCGTCACTTGCTGTTGTCTTCCCCTCCGTCATTGCAGCCAAGTGAGCCCGTACTTTCAGCAGTCATCAGCCAAGATACACAGCGCGCCGAGCCCACACAACAGCACCATCAGGTTGTCGCGCTAACGTTTCGCTTATCGCTACAATCTGGTGATGCGTGTCTTTTGCGCCTGGCACACAGGTTGTACACAAAACAAACCCTCATCTGCGATATCGTATTGCCCACTTACAAAAATCCAGACGACTTCTCAACTAGAATATCCACCGATACAAACACTCTCCTCTCATGAAGCATACCCTATCAATACCTCTCCGATCTCACACTTCAACACTCACCCACTGACCCCATCGATGCTGCTGCGCGTCGCCTCCGTCTCGCTGCTGCTTAGCCGCGTGTGCCTCGCTGGGCCCGTGGACGCACCTAGCGACGCTGTGTCCGCCTCCGGCGCGGCGCAGATCGCGGGCCTGTGCCTCCTCGTGGCCGCCAGCGCCTTCCTCACGTCCGTGTACCTGCTGCCGCGCTGGCTGCTGCGCCTGGTCGAGTGGAACTCGCACCCGTCCGTGCTCTGGAGCGTGCGCACCTCGTCGCGCGTGTGCTCGCTGACCATCGACGACGCGCCGTCGCCCTCCACGCCCGCGATCCTCGACGTGCTGCGCGAGCACCAGGTGCGCGCCACCTTCTTCATCATCTCGGGCCGCATCCCGGGCAACGAGGACGTGCTGCGCCGCATCGTGCGCGAGGGCCACGCGCTGGCCAACCACCTCACGGAGGACCGCGCCAGCATCCTGGACGAGCTGCACGTTTTCGAGCAGAAGCTGCAGGAGTGCGACCGCGCCATCGGCGAGTTCCAGCCCTCGCCCGACGACGAGTCGCCCGAGCCGCTCGAGACGCAGCAGCTGCTGCTAGAGGAGATAGGCCCCGACGCAGTGCGCCCCGTGCTAGACGACTCTAGCAAGATGACGGACAAGGAGGACGCCATGAGACCCAGAGGCAAGTGGATGCGCCCGGCTTCGGGCTGGTTCACGACGCCCATGAGGGAGATCACGGCGCGCCACGGCTACCGCATCTGCCTGGGCAGCGTCTACCCGCACGACGCGCAGATCCGCTCCGAGGCGATGAACTCGATGCACCTGAGAACGCGCACGAGCTGCGGCTCGGTCATTATTGTACACGACCGCTTGTGGACGATCAACGTCTTGAAGACGGCGCTGCCCGAGCTCACCCGCAAGTTCACCTTCGTGAGTCTGGACGAGCTCGAGACGTACAACGAAAGCAAACCGACAACAAAAGTGACGATATAAGGCTGATCGAGATGCTGTGTATTAAACTGTAAGCTATCTAGATGAATGCGTCGGGCGCGCTGTCTCGCGGGATCTCTGGATCTACTTGCAGCGCTGCTTCACCTGACTCAATGCTTGGCTCGAGGGACTCGCTGTCAGCCGAGAACGAAAACTGCATGTGCTGGGCGAGGATAAATTTACGGAAAAGCTGCACGGAGCGGGATTAAGCAAGAGGAGACTTTGTACGTTGGCGTGGACTTTCAAACACAAGCAAGCAGCTTACCTCGGTGTTGAAGCACTGGCGGAAGAAATCGCGGCATCCGAGCTCCGTGTGGGCATCCAGGAACGAGTCCACCTCGAACAGAAGAAACTCGTCGGTGTCGGCTGCCGTTGGTGACTCCACCTCGAAGTTCTGGTGGAAAAAGCAAAAGTAGTACACGACGTCGCCGAAGAGAGCCTCAAGGAACCACACGAGCGCAAGGCGCGCCTTGCCGTCCAGTGAAAGAGGAGGCTGCTCGAGTTGGCTGGGTGCTATCTCCGCGCTCGGTTCGTCTGGTGTAACGTCCTTTACTTGCTGAAGCATTTCGCCTATGAAGCTGGGAGCTTTGCTTGGGCCAAAGAGATGCGAATCCGCTTGAGTAATACGCGAGCTGTGGAGTGCTTCACTTAGCATACTTTCCAGAAACCGAAGAAGTGACTCTGCTCAAGTTCAATAGACAAATATTAGCGCATTTTGTGATAACCATGATACAGCGAACAAGCAGGTAACCTACGAGGCAGCTCTGGGATGTCCACTTTCTCCGGAACGTAGATATCATCCGAGTCGATGTCGATGATGACCGCTGTCGTTTGCAGAAGCTCGGGTGGATACTCGTTCGGCGTCGCCGTAGCCGGAGGTTGCACATGAAGCGAAACTTTGTGAGTAGTGTACACACTGTTCCCTGGTTATTGGTATGGAACGAGTTCGTTAGCTTCAAGCATCGTTAAACTCATTACAGACAAAAATAAGCACAATACGAACGGATTCGGAAGCGCTGATCCACCCCGGAGTCCTTCTTTTGGTACGTTATCGTTCCTTCGCAGCCGAGGAGAAACGGCGACGAGTTCACGTCTGAGAAAAGACCAGCATCACGCAGCTCGGAGCATGTTCGCACAGGGCAAAACGGAACATAAAAGTGCTGCATGGGTTCGGAAATACAAACATCAGAGATCAGCCTCGCGCAAACACTCAGCTCGACTTAGTGCGAATGCGTACCATCCATTCGAATGGCTTGAGCAACTCTCTCGTAGCCTCCGCAACAGATATTAAAGCTGCTGAGCGTTCTGACACGAGAATGATAGACTTACCAACAAGGATGGACGCTAGAATACTAATGAGCGTCTTGGAGCACAAGATAAACGACTTGTCAGAGCCTCCCTGACGCTGAAATCTGAAGATCTGCGCGTACCTGGGAGCTGATCTCCTTGAATACAGTACACAGCGGTATCTCGGCTGTGCGGAGGCCCGACTCCAAACAAAATCCGCTGTATTTGGGGCTCAGAAGCGGTCGCGAATTACCGGAAAGTCTTGCTGTGCATACCGAAGACACTAGCTTGGAAACAGCTTCCTCCGTCAATTTCTCCTGTGGCATCCAAGATCACCTCAGTCAGTTAAACGTGCAGCACATTTTCAAACTTTGTTATCGTACCAATTCAACTGACGCCAACTGTAGCAAAAGTCTACGACTTCTCATTTGCATCGGCGTAGTTGTCAACACGGACAAAACTTGCGGGCAGTACTGATCAGAATTCCCTTTCTCGTTTGAATCCGTAATGAGATCATTCGTCGGAGAGCTGACTGACAAGCCGGGTGTGGGCTTCTGCCGCCACAGGGTCAGACAAACTCCAAATAAGTATTGACCGGAGCCCTGCCCTTCCTTGTCCGTAGGCACAACGAAGTCATGGAACGAAGGTTTCGGAGATATTGCTAAACACACAAAATGATTAGCATTTGAAACGATCCATCAACAACCATTGGTGTACATACCGGCACGTCCTGAAGGAGAGCTAGGATTCCCACTCGTTGCTACATGCACATTCTTCATCCAGTAGTTCTGTCAGCATAAATTCCCACAAAATAGAATGTGTGAGAAACCATTCATTGCACCACATCGATCCAAACACATTACCAGGTACGCTGGATGAGTTTCCGTTGCAGCTTCCCGCTCATCTCCAGTGCAAAACAACTCATAGGTCGCTTGATTGGCATCTTCACCAACGCTGGCTGGAAGAGAGACAGCAGCACTCGAGATGCTGTGGATTCCAAGGCGCGTTAGCTCTTGGACTACGAGAACTCGGTGAAAGCTATGGCGATTGCACTGCACTCCTTGCCCCCACAAATTCGGAGGCGAGGGCCGCTTGATGGGAACGAGCACAGCGTTGGCCTTGAGTTGCGCTTCGCTCTTCCGCCTCGCCAGCTTCGGTATCGTTTCGCTTTGTCTTTCATGACGCATTGTCGCGCTTTTCTTCACAGTCGCTTGCACGTGCTCACTCAGCCGTCGCAGTTGCTGGTCGGTCTCCAGGTCTTCCGTCTCCACCACCAGCACCACATACAAACTCGACATGCGGAACTTCTGGTACACGTCGGTCTGCAGCCACTCCCACACACAGTCCTGCGCAGCCCGGAACAGGTTAGCGTAGCGTGGAGGGGAGAACGGCTCGCTCTGCAGCTTCATGATCTGCTGCAGCGTCGCGCGGCGCACAGTCTCCGACACGCGCGTGGCTGCACTGCCCTCCGCCGCCTCGCCCTCCCCCACCAAGAACCTGTTGAACACGTGCCTCACGTGCCGCTGCACCTCCTCGAAAAGCGCCACGGAGAAGAGCGTGGTCTGGATCAGAGGCAGGAAGCGCGTCTGCACGTGCACCCAGAAGCGGAGGTTGCCCTCCTCCCCCGGGAACTGGTCGGTCAGGAACCTCATGAGGAACTGCGTGCGTCTGGCGTCCACCAGCACCTCAGCCAACGGCAGCTCGCGTCGTGACCTCAGCGCGTCGCACAGCTCCGAGTACTCGCGGCTGCGCAGGAACTGCGGGAAGGCGTCGCGTGTCATGAGCTCGCGCACGAGCGTCTCCACCCCATTGAACAGGCCCAGCGGGCAGTGCCCCGCAGCCACGGCGGCCAGCACGCGCGCGCGCAGCGGCTCGGCGGCTGGAGGCAGCAGCAGCTGGTTGGTGGACTCGACCTGCTGCAGGTACGAGGCCGCGATGTCCTTGGCCTGGGATGAAACAATAAATAAAATAAATAAATATAGTTGAAGGATTTTTTTCTTTACCGTTAACATTGGGACGTACGGCGCGCGGGAGCAGGTCGCGTCTGCCCACGAGCCGCTTGTACTGGCGCACGCGGTGCAGGAAGGCGAAGCGCAGCTCCAGCGCCTGCGCCTCTCGCTCCGGGAAGCAGCGCAGGAAGAAGTCGCGGCGGAAGGTGTCCGTGGCCACGGCCTCGAGCGTCAGCTCCATCTCGTTAATTTTTTTTTTCTAAAGATTGGCCAATGAGATTCGACTCTTTGGTACCGCAAACACGCAGTTTAGCTGCAAAGTGCAAGTTGAAGTAGACTTCAACTTCGCAATATCTTTTATTATCAGTCAGTGCTTACATTCAGGATTCAGGATTCAGGACGTGGAGGAACAGCGGTCAAATATGTTGACGGCTTGCGGCTCCGATGGCTCAGAAGGGTCTGGACTTGAGCGGGCTGCGGCTCCATGGGCTCGTCTTGCTGCTGCTGCTGCTGGGCTGGGTGAGCCGCGTGCTCGGAGTTCGCCGCTGATGCCCGCGGCGGGGTCGGCAGTGGCGCGGGGCCGAAGACCAGCTCGTGCTCGTGCTCCTTGCCCTGGCGCCGGTAGCACGAGTCGCACAACGCGTAGCGCTTGCAGCTCCGACACGACCAGAAGTCGGCGCGCGTGATCAGGAGGTTGCACTCGCGGCAGAAGACGTTGAGCTGGGCCACCTGCTCGTTGAAATAGTGGTGCAGCATCATCATGGTCGAGTGCTTGGCGCGCCGCAGCGAGTCGAACTGGTAGCCGGCGTACGAGCAGAGCTGGTGGAACATGAAGCGGCTGCCGAAGAAGCGCGGGACTTGGCTACACCACGACGGCACGAGCGCTTCTGGACGGCAGCCCTCAGCTTGCTCGCCGTCCAGCGTCACCAGATCCACCACCAGCAAGTCCTGCTTCAGCCGTTGAACTGCAAATTGACACTTGGAGAACACCTCGCGCACCTTCACGTCGACTTGCAGCGATGCTGGAACAGAGGGCGGCGCTATGCAGGTAGGCGCTTCCTCCTTGATACGCGTGATCACGCCTCCCACAGACAGCTTGCCCCCGGCACGAGCGATCGAGCTGCTTTTGCCGCGCGCTGCGAGTTTCTTGTTCTCGCTCGCTCGCTTCTGCTTCTCGTTCCTTGACATGATGCGGCCAAGAATCCGGTCCAGCTCGGACGGGATGATATCGCCGTCAAAGATCGGCGGGAGCTGCTTCGCTGGCCACTCGAGCTCGTTCGGATTCACAGACTGCACAGTCGTACCGCGGGTCGACACGCCCACGCCATTCTCCTCCTTCACAGACACGAAGGACGCTGACGACTTCGAATCGTCCTTAGCTACTGCACCGCAGACGCTCTCGCTGAAGTATCGATCATACATTGTAGTCCAGTCCTTGACAATCCCACAGTCCTTCGCCTTGGTAAGCAGCTTGTTGTACCATCGACGCAAGTGTTCCGCGCTGGGGGTCTTCTGAAAGGAGGGCCGACACCAAAACACATAACTAATTCGCTTCTGCGGCGGGCACGACCATATATGTACGCGCGAGAAGCCATGACGCCGCACGTAGTCGAAGTAAGCCAGCAAGATCAGGTGATACGCCGCTGTCCGAGCGCTTGCCGGCTTAAGGTATCGCACACTGTCCAAGTAGGCGATATACACGGCTCGTCGATTCGCCTCCAGTTCGCAATCGTCACCGAATTCTTGAGCGTAGATCGTGAAGAGGCAAACCTCCATTCCTTCGTGCTTCTGGAACAGGTACAGACCACGCGAGAGATAGCTGATGTGGGCTGGTATCCGCTGAGAGCTCGTGTCTTTGCCCGGGCGTACTTGAGCCAGCAACTCGACGTTCTCGTCAAATGTTCGTACCACGGCCTCCGGAACAGCCATGCGCTCGCCAGGAAATGAAAGCGCTCGGACGTACAACGTTTGAGCAGCTTCGCGCTCCCCGATCTTGTCTAGCCCTCGACGCAAAAAGTTCTGGATAAATATGCTTAGTTCACAGCTCGGGATATTGAGACAGGAGCTGTTTTGCGCGTGCTCGTCGGGGTCAACGTGCAGGATTTTGCGCATTGGGGACTCGGGCGATGGCGTCGCTCTCTTACGTCGACAGCGACAGAGAGGACATGCGTACGAAGGGCCCGTCTCAATCGACAAGCCCTCAGCTTCCTTCTTCAGGGCTTTTTCCGATTCGTACGCTCCGATCACCGGGTTGTAAAGCCCACATACCTGATGCAGCCATCTGTCGCACTCGCCACACTTGACCCACGGCTCGACACCGGCCTCGCACTTCTTCTTAATGAGAGAGTCTAGCAGAGCGTCCGTATCATCGTCAGGCTCACGATCTGGTGAGTTGCGGTCCCTCGCCAGACGAGTTCTGCACTTCTGACACCAAACACGGGTGCCGTCCTCCGAAACGAAATAAACTGAACCCTTCCGAATGTCAGTGCTGCAGCCTCCCGAGCACTGCAAGTGTGGCTGGGTGACTTCTAGGCACTGCTGGTTGCACACAATGCAGGTATTTCCGCGACACACAAGACACGCATGCTGCACGCGCTGGCGCTTCGCTTGCCGCTTTTCCTCAGCTTTTACTGAATCATTGAAGCGCTTCAGCAGAACTTCGGCATCCACGTGAATATAATGCGACTCAGGGTTGAACAGCATGGCGTTTTCAAACACCAAACGGACGTCGGACACGAAATCTTCCAGCTCCAAGTACTCTCCAGCGGCGAGATTGCGCTTAATAGTGCCGAGATCCATCGGGTGCTGCACGATTGTCGTGTACGTAGGCAGCTCCAGCGCTACCGGGTCCACGGGCGTGTTGAACACACCATGTCGATTCCGCGGGTCAGACATCAGCTTCAATAAAATATCCGTCACCTTCTCAAAACTGGTAAAGCGGCCCTCCTGACGAACCGACCCAATGTGTTGAGCGATCTCGTCCGCTGTCATCTGCAGCATCGGGTTCACTTCTACAAGGTCCACCCTAAGAGGCTGGTCTCCTGGTGGTTTCCATCCTATAGGCAGGCTCCGGTTATCGCCAAGCGTCCGGCAGTCGTACGGGAGCGGCTCCATGAGTTTCTGACTGATGCTCTGGCCATTGCTGCTCTTGGCACGCACGACCTGGCGCGGCGTCACGGTCGGTACACCCACTTCGCCATTGCGCCGCCGCTGCTTGCGCGGGGAGAACTCTGCTCCATTCGTGTATCCATTGCTAGTAGGTGTATCTTCATCGTACGTTGCAGCAAGCGGTCGCTTCCGCACCGCACCCCGAGGGGACTTGGTCTGGGCCGCTTTCGTGCTCTTCTTGGGACTCTTGGCGCCTGACTTGGACCGAGCTCCCTTGCCTGCTAACTTGTTCGCCAACGCCACGGCTGCTTCCTGTGGTGTCGCGCGTGGAGACGACGGCTCGTGCTTGGTGACGATTTCTACGCCGCCGCTGGGCACGCACAGACTGCGACGCTGGGGCTGCTTGCGTGCAAACTGCAATGGTCGCACGGTGATGGTAATGGGGCGCGGCAGCAGGTCTGGCCGAGGCATGGGGCCCGACCTCCGGCGATGCGGCGGCACGGGGCAGCTGAAGACAATTTTGGTCCACTCCGACTGCACCACGCGCTCGCTTGCCAGTCCCGCCGCCACCGCCGAGCTGAGCTTGCGCCATAGCATGTACTTGACGAGTCGCGACACGAACGTGTCCGAAGAGCCCACGCCCGTGGAGATCAGCTCTGGATAAGGAAGACAGACAGACAACGAGGGGTAACGTTAATCGTCAAACAGTCACGTCAACTTCAAGGTGGTCATTAGTGTAGCCATGTAGATGTCAACGTACCGACGATGAGGCGCAGGATGTCGGCGCTCGAAGACTCGCGCTCGCCGTAGAAGAGCAGGAAGGCCGCGTCCTCCTCGTCCATGCGCCGCTTCCTCACGCCGGGGATGTGGTGCTGCTCCCAGACCACGTTGCTGCGCGTAGCCACCTGTCGCTGCTGCTTCTTTTTCTTCTTCTTCTTCTTGTTCTTTGTGGGCGTCTTCTCCACCTCCACAGCTACCGCCACAGGTTCTTGCTCCTCCTTCTGCTCTTCTTCTTCGTCATCCTCAACCTCCAGCACCTCCAACTTCCTCTTGACTCTCACAGGCTCCTCCTGCTCCTCGTATTCAGGCTCCTCCGCCTCAAACGGAGCCTCCTCCTCATGTTCTTCTTCTTCCTGCTGCTCTTCTCCTTCTTCCTCCTCCTCGTCGCTGTCGATCGTCACAATCTCCGGCCCCGCAGCTGCGAACTCCGTCTTGACGTCCAGCAGCGCAGACGCCGGCAGCGGCTGCGTCTGAGTCTGAGACGGAGGATGGGGATGAGACTTGCGCCGCTTGTGCTCTTGCCCCCCCTCCTCCTCTTCTTCCTCGTCTTCATCCTCTTCGTCGCTGCTGATGCTGATGTAGACCTGGCCGTTCTCCTCCACCTTCTCGCGCCAGCTCACGGCCAGCGGCCGCTGGATGGCGCGCTGGCGCTCGGCCTCGCGCTCGCGGCTCAGGCGCGGACACGCCAAGAGGCGACTCGCGGCCTCCTGCACCTCCATCGCTCGGTGCCCTTGGCCCTGGCGCGTTCTCCTCCCATACAAAAGCCAGGTGTTTTCACTGGTGAGGAACCGACGCCCATTGGCTGAACCAAGAAAGGATTTCGTAATTAGTGTAGCCATCTTGGAGTTGAGTTGATGACCTTCACGCCAGGACCATGGTCCCCGCTGCATCCATCGCATCGCTCTCCATCGCCGTGAGGTTGATGGGCCATTGACACGCGGGCGTTGGCGGTCGCCTCCCGTCTTGCCGCGGGTCTCAGCTGCGTGTTTGGCGCCCGTCCCAACCAGCGGCAGCCAGTGACGACACCAGTTTGATGGGCCTCATCTCGCTCGAGAAGAGAAGAGAGACCTTAACGACCTTGTTGCTCTCTCATTAGCAAACGTGCCTGCTCTGCGCCTCGAGATGCACATCACTGCCGCGACTCCGAGACCCGTGCCCAAGCGCGAGCCGCCGCCGCCCGAGACGAGCTTCCACCTGCCGGACCTCGTGGCGGCCAACGGACACCTCGGAGCCGACACGGCGGCGGTCGTCGGCTGGCCGCCGCACCTTCTCGGACCGGCGACAGCAACGACATCGACGTCAGCGTCCTCGGCGTCGACGCCGTCTCCGACGACTGTGGCGTCCTGTGCGACCTCGACGGCTGAGCCGGTGCTGCTGGCTGCCTTCCCGTCGAAGCGACTCAACTGGACGCGACGACTGGTCATCACCAAGCAGCCTGCATCCGAGTTTTACAAGGACGAAGGCGGCAAGGCCAACGCGCTGGAGGTGGAGGTGACGCTGGTGGAGTTCAACGAGCTGGGAGAGCCCGCGCGCTCCCCGGACCAGGAGTTCATCGACATCCCGCTGCGCATCCTGCTCTTCTTCGAGTCGGGGAAGCGCGTGGACGACACGGACCAAGAGATCTTTCGCTTCGTGGGCAACGACTACGACTCGGTGGTCATTCGGGCTTCGACGCGCAAGGCCCTGGTGCAGTTCCGCCTCGAGAAGGTCAGTCGGCGGAAGGACGGCCAGCGATTCAAGCTACGCATTGAAGTGGACCAAGAGCAGTGCACGGCCAACGTCGCAGACCTCACCCCGGTCTTCACGAATGCAATCTGCGTACTGTCCAAGCGCAAGCACCCCAGCTCGTATAACTCGGACTCTTCCGTTCGCGCGCGAGAGCCTCCTCCGAAGCTGCTGAAGAAAGGTAAATTATGTTGGTTGTTTTTTTGCATGAGGAGATGGTGTCGTTACGCTCGTCACTAACACGTCGATATGCTTGTATGCAGCAGACTTGACCTCGATGGAAGAGCGGATTAACCGGAAGATTGATGGAGTCGCAACACAGGTCCACCACTTGACCCAGTTGGTCCACAAGCAGGTTGGTTCTGGTATTCTACGACGTACTTGGAACTATTTCTTGTGGTCTCTAACCTCCGCCTTTGCCACGTCAGAACGAGATTCTCACCAGGCACAACCTGCCTACAGTGCTCTCTCCTCCGATGCACTGCCCTCCCAGCGACAGCTCCATATTGGAATGGTTGCTTCGGTCCAACACTGCAGATGAAGGCCCCTGGCCCAAGCCCGAGCCGGAACTGTTCCCCACCACGGTCATGCCCTACTTTGAAGGCGCGGACGAGCCGTACCATGGCGTGGACGTCGATCTCACGTCTGCGCTGGTTCCTCACCCAGCTGTGCCCTCTGCAACAACGACGACGACGACAACAACGACGGCTCCTGCAGACGTGCGTACCAGTGAGATGACGAAACCTACGCTACCCTTCGGCGACATTTGAGTTGTGCTCTTCTGTGTGTGTAGGTAGCTGAGACCGTAGGTACTGTCTCATTTTCGCGTACGAGAACTCTCGGCTAGGTCGAAAATACAACTGCGGGCGCGTGGCCCGCTCTCTTTGATTGTGAGAAGTTACTCTTTGGGCTGCTGCGGTGGCTGTTGGGGTGTGGCATTGACCCCCGTCTCGAGGAAGTGTCGGAAGTCGCCCACCACCTGCGCCAGGTTGCCCGCCGTCTGGATCTGGCGGTGCAGATCCACGTTCTTGGGGCTCTTCTCCATGAGGTTCAGCAGCCTCTCCTTCCGTCGCAGCTGCAGGCAACAACACAGACAGCAGTTAGTCCCCCGCCCGGCGTATCATCCCAGTATTCAGGCGGCAACGTTTCCAAGAGTCCAGACGTACTATCTCTTTGTAGAGCTCGTCGCACACCGAGTTGAACTGCTCGAGCTTCTTGACCACCTGGTCCTCCACGCCCGTCTGGCCCTCGCCCTCACTGCAGCAAATTGCACACCTCAGCGTCAATACCTGCATCAATTTACTATACATAACGGCCGATGACGCACGGGAACTGCTCCTCGGACTGCACGAGCGTGAGGCACTCGGACACCAGCTCCTGCACGACGCGACACAACCTCAGTCAGTGGCACTGGCAGTGCAGTGTATAACTCATGCCAGCTCGGGCTCAGCCAGCAGCACGCACGTCGAACTTGACGCAGACGTCCTCCACGCGCAGCGCGAAGGGCTTGTTGGGGTCCTTGGCCGCCTCGCTCGTCAGCATCACGTTCGCCATGGTCGCCCAAGTCGACGTCTAATAGCAAAATGGCTCGGCCCCATTATTGTGTTGCTGTCATTGGTCCAAAAGGAGTATGTGATTTTCACCCAATCCCCGTGCGTCATCCGCCGCGTCCCCCTTCCACTTCACAATAGGAGCTCAGGCAATAAGGGAGGCAGGAGCAGGGAAACCGCAGCGCAGCAAGCATGGCCGGCCAGCGCAAGCTCCTGAGCGAGATCGACCGCACGCTCAAGAAGGTGAGCGAGGGCGTGGACGTGTTCAACGAGATCTGGGACAAGGTGTACGCGGCCCAGGCCCAGAACCAGAAGGAGAAGCACGAGGCGGACCTGAAGAAGGAGATCAAGAAGCTGCAGCGCTTCCGCGACCAGATCAAGACGTGGATCGGCAACTCGGACGTCAAGGACAAGCGCCCGCTCGTGGATGCGCGCAAACTCATCGAGCAGAAGATGGAGGAGTTCAAGGTGTGCGAGAAGGAGACCAAGACCAAGGCCTACAGCAAGGAGGGCCTGGCCCAGGTCGAGCGCCTCGACCCGGAGCAGCAGGCGCGCCAGCAGTCCCACGCCTGGATCCAGGACTGCCTCAACCAGTTCAACGTGCAGATCGAGGCGCTCGAGAGCGACGTCGAGCGCCTGCACTCGGCCAAGGGCCGCAACCGCAACAAGGCCGAGATCGAGGAGAAGGAGAAGCTGCTGTCCAGGCACAAGTGGCACATCCTCAAGCTCGAGCAGATCAACCGCCTGCTGGACAACTCGGCGCTCGAGCCCGACCAGGTGGACGAGCTCAAGGAGGACGTCGAGTACTACCTCGAGGCCAACCAGGAGCCCGACTTCATGGACACGTACGGCGACGACGACATCTACGAGATGCTGGACCTGGACACGCTCGGAGCTGCGGCCCAGGTGGCACTGCCCACGGAGCAGGACGTGGGCATCGACGACACCAGCTCCACGACGTCTGCGTCGTCCGCTACTACTGCTGCGACGCCCAGTGGACGTGGCAAGACGCCGCGCAAGAGCGCCACGTCCTCGATGATCACAGGCATTGGTCGCGCTGGTGCGGTGAAGCCTATTGACCTTAAGACGTCCACGCCGAGTCGCTCCAGCAGCTCTACTAAGAGCGACACATCGCCGCCCAACGCCATCAAGACGGATGAGCTCAAGATCGGCAAGGGCCGCACCACCCCGCAGCGCGCCAAGAGCGGATCCTCAGACAAGAGTGCCAGCAAGGCGCCTACTCCAGTGCCGTCGTCTCCTGCCGTCGGTGAGCAGCGCACGCCAGCACGCAAGGTTTCTCCGCCTACGCCGCAGCGTTCTCCGTCTCCGAGCATCGGCCGGGGCCAGGTCGTTGGCCCGAGCTCGTCCTCTTCATCCGCGTCCCCTGCAGCAGCCAAGGCCCCAGCGGCGGCAGCGCCGTCACCCGCGCCGTCTAACGTATCCTTGCCACCGCCGGTCCCTACTCCAAACGCTGCTGCTGCACCGCCCGCAGTTTCCGTACCAGAAGCTTCACCCGGCACCGGATCCGCAGCGCCTACTCCTACGGCTGCGGCATCTAAACCTCGGCCCATGGAGGATTCGCCCCAACTCACGGAGGAGCAGAAGCAGGTGCTGCGGTTGATCGACGAGAGCTTTCACTTCATTCCCGAGAGCCGCGACTCGGAAAAGGCCAACCGCTACGTGCCGCGCAACCTGTACCCGACGCCGGCGTCGTTCCCGGCCACACCGTCCACACTCTTTTCGAGCGCCCCCATCTTCGAGAAGCTGGACGTGGATACGCTCTTCTTCATCTTCTACTACCAGCAGGGCTCGTACCAGCAGTACCTGGCTGCGCGCGAGCTCAAGCGACGGACATGGGGCTACCACAAGAAGTACAAGACGTGGTTCAAGCGGCACGAGGAGCCGCAGGTCACAGGCGAGGACTACGAGCAGGGCACCTTCGTCTACTTCGACTACGAGACCGGCTGGTGCCAACGCATCAAGACGGAGTTCACCTTCGAGTACAGCTACCTCGAGGACGAGCTGCAGTAAGCTAAGCCCCCGCCAGTAAAAAAGTTAACCCTGAACTCGTGTGTGTTCGCGTTAAACTTGTAGAATACGTGGAGTATTATTATGTATGCCTTGATGACAATTGCGGCCGCGAACGTTCCTAAACGATGGGGTCTGCTAGCATGTTCATCATTGCCGTCGCTCATCCTATCACATCGCGATGCGTGCCAAAATCTCATTCCCGAAAGTCTGACGTAGCGCGCAGATGTCCTCCACTACTACTAAGACCGACTACGCCATCTCGATGGCCAGCGTGCAGGCCGCCGCCGAGCGTATCAACGGCTTCGCACACCGTACGCCCGTGCTAACGTGCCACGCCCTCGAAACGATCGCGGCGGGGGAGAGCGGAGCCCCCAAGCGCCTATTCTTCAAGGTACCCGCTAACTAACCACTAAGTGCACTACCTCTTCCCCTCTGCAAGTGTATTGACGTAGATCTCTTGTGTAGTGTGAGAACCTGCAGAAGGTGGGTGCGTTCAAGTACCGAGGTGCTCTCAATGCCGTCAAGAAGTATCTGCAGGAGAAGAAGGAGAAGGGGGAGAAGACAGACACGACGTTTGTCACGCACTCGAGCGGGAATCACGGCCAGGCATTGGCTCTTGCGGCCCGAGACGCCAACTGCAAGGCGGTGATCGTCATGGTGAGCGTCTGCACTGCAAAGGGAACCAGACAATATCATGCTAATAGTCCTGAGTGCGTTGCAGCCCAACAACTCGCCGAGTGTCAAGCAGAACGCCGTTCGCGGCTACGGTGCTGAGGTGAAGCTGTGTGCTCCGACGAACGAGGCGCGTGAGAAGGCTGCCAACGAAGTCGTCGAGGCGACTGGGGCTCGCTTTGTGCATCCGTCGAATGATCCGGACGTCATGAACGGCCAGGGCACGGTCGCGCTGGAGCTGCTGGAACAGGCGAAGGAGTACGGGGTGGAACTTGATGCAATTATCGTGCCAATTGGCGGCGCTGGACTCTGCTCGGGAGTTGCAATGGCTGCGAAGGTATACGAGGTGCTGTTGCTGATGCTGCTGGCTTCGGTCCCTGTTACTCACTGTGATGTATATGTATCCTAGTCCGTTCAACCCGGTATTAAGGTGTTCGCGGTGGAGCCCACCGGAGCAGCCGACGCCTACAACTCCTTCCAGAAGCACGAGTTGATGGGCCATACTGGCCCCATCAACACTGTGGCTGACGGTCTCCGGACCACACTGGGTAAGGAATGCTTCGACAGTCAACTACCTTGTGAGCATGGGTTGTAACAAGTCTTCTACTGATTCAGGCGACAACAATTGGCCCGTCGTGCGAGACCTCGTGGATGAGATTCTGCTCGTTTCCGACGACGAGATCGTCTCGGCCATGAAGCTGATCTGGGAGCGCATGAAGCTGGTAAGGAGAGATTGCTCACCATTGTCAGAGGGAGGAGACTCACCGCAGTCGATGTGGATTGTTAGGTTGTAGAGCCTAGTGGTGCTGTGGCGACGGCTGCTGTCCTCGCCCACAAACTTCCGGCAGGGATAACCAACGTGGGCGTCGTGTTTTCGGGCGGAAACGTTGACCTCGAGAAGCTGCCGTGGGCTCAAAAGGCCTGAGGACTATGCGATAGATAGGTGGTCCTAGACTTCCAGAAGTCGTTGAAGCCTCCAGTATCGTGGGCAAATTCGTAACGCAACATCAACTGAGTTTGCTTTATCGTTGCCATGTTCGTCTAGTTCTCTATTCAGCTGAACAAGTAGCTGAGCGCCACGTAGATGCCGATGCCCCACACCCAGCGAGGGATGCCGAGGCCGTTGTCACCCTTCTGTACCTCCGGCTCCGGAGTTGCGATTTTGCGCAGCTCTTCCGCCGCCGCAGTCTTTTCGCCCGCGTCGGCATCAGACTGGGAGGCGGCAGGGTGCTTCTCCATTTTCAAGCGCTTCCTGGCAGCAGCCGGGAGCGCGTCGGCCTTGACGGCCTTGGACGACTCTGGACGACGACGGGAGGACGAGGCCACTTCTCCTTGCAGCTCGCGCATGTTCAGCAGAATAGCCTGCACGAAGGAATACGTTAGTCCTGCATTCAATCACTTCGAAGACAAAAGTACGCACTACACACCTGGTTGATCTTCAGCAGCTCAACGCTCAGCGCGAAGTTTTCGCGGGCCAGGTCGTGGTGGAAGTATCCTCCAATCGCGCGGCATCCGTTCAAGAAGGGCGGGAAGGCCGAGTGCATCACATGGACGAACTCGTGCATCGTCATCTTGGAGAACAAGTACGTGGGCAAACGCGCGCCTCCGTAGATGAAGTTGAGCTCCAGCACGAAGCAGAGCACGCCGGCGGCCAGAGACCACGCGCGCGCCTCGCGGGCGTTCTCGCCCAGCGTCAGGACGAACGTCAGCACGGCCCAGATCGCGTAGTACGTCAATGATCCAACCAGCGTCTCAATCTGCAGCGAAAAGAGGTCCTTCTCCACGGAGCTCTCGCCGTACAGATCGTACAGCGGGCGCTTGTTGGCGTCTCCCAGAATCTGCAGCAGCAACAACCAAGAGCCGCATTTGTACGTCAGCACCCAGTCATCTATCTAGCTACCTGCATATATAGCACACAACACGCACGTCGAAGGCGAGGCGGAGGCGGTTGAACTCCTCCGTGGCTGTGGGCGACGGGTTCTTGTCCGGGTGGAGCTCCACCGAGCGCTGGCGGAAGGCGCGCTTGATGTCGCTGTAGGACGCGTCGCGGTCGACGCCCACCACGTGGTAGAAGTTGTTCTCCTGCTCGTACAGGTCCATGCCCTGCAGCATCAACATAACAGTAATATTAACATCAAACAATTGATAATTCACCCATTGCCGCTGCTGCAGCTGCAGGACGCACGATGGTGACGGCGGCGATGGCGACGAGGAAGCCGACGGCGTAGAAGAAGGCGCGGCGCTTGGGGAAGCGGCCGGGCTTGAGGATCCACGAGATGGCGGGCGAGATGATGAACATCTGCACCAGGATGCCCTGGGACGAGTCGGACTTGCCCATGGCTGCTGCGGGGGTGCGCTGAGGTGGCGGCGGAGGCTACGTGGACACCTCGGGTGAGCTCTTGCACTGTGCGCGCGGTATGATGGAGACAGTGATGGGCAAAATCGCGCCGATTGGTCGAAACGGAGAACGAACAGGCTGCTGTGATTGGTTGAATATCGACCAATGGACAGCGTCCTCGGTAGTCGCCTCCCGACTAGGTACGACCCCACTTCAACCAGTGCAAGTTGGCGCTCAACTCACCAAGTTAGCATTTGAATTTGAATTTGTTGCGGTTTAGATGGCTATCTACTCCCAGGATCGCGCTCAGCTGCAATCCCGCCTATAGATGACGTGCTCGTGCGGACACGCACCTACGGTAGAAGCCCCCAACTCACCAAGCTAGCAATGTGCGGAGCGATGGCCACGACACGGCTGCGGAGTCAGATACGTTATTTGAATCTGGCATTGAACTTCGACGTAATGAGCACTATGGCGCTTGTCGAGGCTTGTGATTCGGCAGCTCGCAGCACCGCGACTTCAGCAGCGGGGAGTAGATATCGTCGTGTTTGATAACGCTCGGTGTTGCTGCAGCCGGGTTTATCGCTGGCTGCTCACTGTCTCGGTCTGGGAGTTGCCACCGGCATACGCAAGATGGCCGATCGATCCATCGCCGACAGTGGCGGGGATCATTGCGAAACGGTTGAAGCGTAGCTTGCGTTTGAGTGCCGCTCCTTACTGCCTGGACCGAGTGATGAGATACCACGTCGCGCAAAGCCGATTCCTGGTCCTGCCTGATATTACCTCACCGGGTTCTGAACGAGCCGTTCTCCCTCGCTAAGTCGACTGCGGGTCCGTCATGGACCCACACTAACGAGCGTTAGTGTTCACTTGGCACTCCCACGGAGTTTCTAATTTAACTGCCAAAACTTTTGACGTAAAGAGCGCTATGATGTTCGCTCGATATGGGTTTGGCTCTGGAGCCGAAGTCAACCGTAGGTGGTCGAGGAAAAATGAGTCGTTCAGAACCCGTCAAACTCATGTCAGGCTTGACCGGCACTTTGGGTTTGTGGTATCTCATCACTCGTGCGTTTCCGTCGGAAACTTCCCGACAAGGTGAGAAGTGGTGCCCAAACGCAAGCTACACACCTCAATCGCTTCGCAATGATCCCCGCCACTGTCGGTGATGGGTCAATTGGCCGATTTGCGCGTTCAGTGAACAACCAGCGGCCGCAGCAATAACGAAGCGCTTACAAACAGTACGGTGTCCCTGCTCCGCTGCCAGAGTTGCAGTGCTGAACTGCGCGAGGGTTGTTTGCACATGTAGCAAGTTGATCAATGAGTATTGTATCGCTTGCCGTCAAATGCTGCTCGCGCACCGAAATGTCCGTTACACGTCGGGCTCCAGTTGCCGTCGCCAGTTGGCGACTAAAGCTGCTTGGCGCTGCGCCTGCGTCACCTCCGCTGTTCGCACGGGCTCAGCCCACCTCGCCAGATGCCGGTGCATCCTGGAGTTGGCGACGGAGCTGGCGATAAAAGATATAGCTCGCCAGGACGAGGACGAGTCCCAGGTGGCGCAGCGCAGCCCCACGTTCGCTTCAACGTGAGCCCGAGGTCGTTTCGGGGTGCGGTACTGTACCACACGACATGAGGGTCAAGTCAAGGTGACCTCTTCTGGCCCAATCACTTTGGTGGATGAACGAACTGCGGCTTGATCGGCGGTCAAATGGCCGCTTGGGCTTTGATGCGCAAACCGCGGAATGAAGAGCGCCTCGATCAGCAGCTTCAGTCCTGGCCGCCGGCGGACCGAAAACGCATCCTCGACGGTCGCGGCAATGCCCGATTGATGCTCGCTGCTTGGATGGCTGCTTGGCGGTGCACGTGCCGGGCCTGTTTCGCAATGTCTTTGCGTGGACATTGCGCGGCGCCCGCTTACGCCCCGAAGGCGGAGGAACATGGGGCTCACTCGCGGCTGGCTGGTGCTGCGGAGCCTCCTCCTCCACCGCCACCGCTGGGCACCGGCATGAACCCGCAGGGGTTCAAAGAGGCAGAAAAACTACGGAGGAATCGCCGGAACAGCCGGCTTGCATTTCCTGCATTTCCGCGTGGGGCGACCACCATTGCATTGGCATCTCCACGCTTTTGCCGGACGACCCCCCGAGCTTTTCGACGGTGGAGATCTCTGAGCCAGGAAAGCGTGCAGAAGCGCCCGCGTCGACGATCGCGTGGACAGCAGCGAAGCGCGAGGTGCAAATCCCGTCATACCCTCCCCCCGAGCGCCGGCAAGCCCTGCCACCTCGCTCGCCTGCATCCGTTCATGGTGCGGCGACTTTGCTAAATGCCACCTTTTAGCGTCGTGTCCAACTTTTAGCTAAAAGTTGTTAAACGAGAGACGTGTCGCATACGAATATAAGCGCGCGGATTGGATGCAGCGAATCGGCGCCGGTGACGTCGATCCATGACGCGCGAGGACTAGGGGTACGTCAGCCTCGAGGCCTCGATGGGCAGCACACACCAAAGTCTCCAGAATTCGAGGACGCCGAGCTCTTCACTCTTGAAAAAGCCACCTGGAGCGGAAGCCACGCCCGAGAGAGAGACCAAGACGCTCGCAATGGAGAAGATGGACGCCACTACCGCCGCCGCCGCCAGTCTGCCCCAGCTGCGCCCGCACAAGACGCGCGAGCTGCTCATGGCCGCGCCCAAGGTGGCCCGCGTGCAGCAGCAGCAGAGCGTGTTCCAGAGCATGTGGATCGGCGCCACCGCCGGCATGGGCGGCATCATCGCCGTGTACCCCGTGGACGTGGTCAAGACGCGCATGCAGAACAGCCGCGTGGCCTCCAGCGCCGTGCAGACGCTCACCACCATCTTCCGCAACGAGGGCGTGGGCTCCTTCTACAAGGGCCTGGGCCCGCAGCTCTGCGGCACCATCCCGGACAAGGCCGTGTCGCTCGCCACGCGCGAGTTCGTCAAGAGCTTCTTCGACAAGCCCAACGAGTTCAAGGCCTCGCTCACGTCGGCCGCCGTCTCGGGTGTCATGCAGTCCATCGTCATGAACCCCGTGGAGGTCGTCAAGGTGCGCATGCAGCTGGACAGCACGCTCAAGCCGCTGGGCGTCATCCGCGAGCTCGGCCTGCAGGGCCTCTACCGGGGCTACTCGGCCTGCCTCGCGCGCGACGTCATGTTCGCCTCCACGTACTTCACGCTCTACGACATGGCCAAGACGCAGCTCGGCGTGCAGGACGGCACCTCGCTCGGCTGGTCCATGGTCGCCGCCTCGACGGCCGGCATCCCCGCCGCCTTCCTCTCGACACCGCTGGACCTGCTCAAGACGCGCATGCAGTCGCGTGACGCCACGGTGCACGGCTTCATGAACACGTACAGGCAGGTGACGGCCCAGGGCGGCGTCGGCGCGCTCTTCTCCGGCTGGGGCCCGCGTGTGAGCCGCATCGCGCCGCAGTTCGGTATCGTGCTGGTGTCGTTCGACTGGCTGTCGCACCGCTTCAGCCCCGCTGTCGAGCACCTGCCGGAGCCGGCCGACACAGACGCTTACGCCGACTACTGAGCACCCGAGCTGACGCCGTAGCTACGGCCTCCGCTCCACACACACACAGATAGCATATCATTACGAACACTATTCATGTTAACCTATGAGAAAATAATACACCGAAGCCAAAGTGCCGCGTGTTAACGAACACGAACGCCATTCAACCGCGTGAATCATCATCATATCCAGAGCTGGGACCGATGCAGATCAAAGTGTCTTCTCTTACGCAGTTATCTAAGGTTGCGAAACAAAGCAGGCTAGAAGGTCCCCCCGTCGACGAGGTTGTCTATTGAGGGCTGCACTGGTACGCTTACGCTTCCTTGGTGAGCCAGGCCAGCTCCGGCTTGCCCGACGACTTGGCAAATGACTTGGCGTCCAGGAACACTTCCACGTTGGCCTTGAGCGTCACCTGCGCGGTGGCGTTGCGCACGGAGACCGAGGCCTCGGCCGACTCCAGGGCGGCCTTGACGTCCTCGTACTTCATCGACGCGACGTATGCCGTGAACTGCTCCACCGGCATGGTGGCCTCGTGCTTGGCCAGCACATCCGCGGACGCGAAGAGCACGGCGGGGCGGGCTACCACAAGCTTCACGCTCGAGTCGGCGAACTGGGCCTCCTCCGACACGATCGGCACGCTGTGCGCAGGCTGCAACGACAGCGGAGCCGGGGCCGTGCCCAGGGTGGAGGCGATCATGGGCAGGAATGACTGGATGGCCGTCGAGATCGGGCCCTGCTCGCCGCCCTTCTCCTCGAAGTACACGTGGATCTTGTCCTGCACCACCAGGCCGGCCTTCTTGCGCAGCTTCTGCACGCGGGTGATCACCTCACGCGCGCAGCCCTGCATCTTGAGCTCCTCGTCCTCGCGGGTGTCGATGATCACCATGAGGTTGCCCTCGGGCGACACGTCAGCCTCGAAGATCTTGCTGTCGCCCTTGAACTCGCGCTTCACCAGCAAGTCGTCGCCGGTCAGCTCGTGGCCCTCCAGCGTCACGCTGCCGCTGGAAACGTACTCCGCGACATCGTCGTGGGTCATCTGGGCGATCTGCTTCTTCACGCCCGACAGCGCCTTGCCGAGACGACGGCCAAGGGCGCGGCTGTTAGCCTCGGCCTTAAGCACGCACCACTCCTTCTCGTCCGTCGAGAACTCGAGGTCGCGCATGTTGAGCTCGTCGTGCAGGTACGTCTCCAGGCGGCGGAGGCCGTCCAGCGTCTTCTGGTCGTTCGAGACCACGATGACCTTCTTCACCGGGTTCTTGAGCGAGATCGTGCGGCGCTCGCGCACCACGCGGCCCATCTCAACAACGCTCTGCAGGTTCGTCATGAGCACCTCCACCTCCTCGTCCACGCGGCTGGCGTCGAAGTCCGGCAGCATGAGGAAGTGCACGCTGGGCGACACGCCATCGGCGTCCTCGGCCAGGTCCTTTCCGGCTCCGTTCACCACGTTCGGGTGGAACTGGCGCAGGAATTGGTACATGTACTCCGTGAAGAACGGCGTGAAGGGGGCCATGAGCTTGGCCAGGTTGTACTCCACCTCGTACAGCGCCGAGAGGGCCACAGCAGCCTCCTCGCTGCCGGCGCTGCCCTTAAGGCGAGGGCGGTTGAGACGCACGTACCAGTTCGTCAGCTGACCGATGAAGCTCACCAGACGCGGCACCACCGTGTACAGACGGTAGGCCTTCATCTCCTCGTGCACGAACTTGATGAGGTTGTGCAGGGCGGCAATGATCCACGAGTCCATCACGTTCGTCGAGGCCAGAGCAGCCTCACGGTTGGGCACGAAGGCGACACCAGTCTCGAGCTGCAGGCGGGTGGCCTGCTGGGCGAAGAAGCGAGCCGAGTTGAACCACGGCAGGAAGATCTCGCGGATAACACCAAGGACACCGGGGGCCTGGAACTTGAGGGGCTCGGCACGCACCACAGGTGAGTTGATGAGGTACAGACGAAGGGCGTCAGCGCCGTACTTCTGCAGGATCTCCTCCGGGTCCGTGAAGTTCTTCAGACTCTTGCTCATCTTGCGGCCGTCCTCGGCCAGCACAAGGCCGTTCACGATCAGGTTCTTGAAGGCCGGCTTGTCGAACAGCGCCGTCGACAGCACCATCAGCGTGTAGAACCAACCACGGGTCTGGTCAAGACCCTCAGCCACGAAGTCGGCCGGGAAGTTGGCCTCAAACTTCTCCTTGTTCTCGAACGGGTAGTGCTGCTGGGCGTACGGCATGGAGCCACTCTCGAACCAGCAGTCAAACACCTCCGGAACACGGCGCAGAACGCCCTTGCCCTGCTTGGACGGGATCGTCAGGTGGTCAATGAACTCGCGGTGCAGGTCCGTCACCTTCTCGCCCGTCAGCTCCTCAAGCTCCGCGATCGAGCCTACGCAGACAACCTCCTCGTAGTCGTCGCTCACCCACAGCGGCAGCGGCGTGCCCCAGAAGCGGCCACGAGACACGTTCCAGTCCTTGCCGTCGACCAGCCAGTTGTGGAAGCGCTTTTCCTGTACGAAGCTCGGCACCCAGTACGTGAGCTTGTTGTTGGCCACAATGCGGTCGCGGATGCGCTCGACGTTGACGAACCAGCCAGGGATGGCGCGGTAGATCAGCGGCGTGCCCGAACGGTAGCAGAAGGGGTAGCTATGCACCTCCGTGCCCTTGGACACAAGGCGGCCGCGGTTCTTGAGCTCCTGGCAGATGACGTCGTCGGCCTTCTTGACGTGCAGGCCCTTGACGAGCGGCACGGCGTCCGTGAAGACGCCGTTGTCGTCCAGCGGGTCCGGCAGCGTGAACTTGTCGGCCACGCCCTCGCGCACGCAGACGCGGTAATCGTCCTCACCGAAGGTGGGCGCCTGGTGCACGATACCGGTACCGCCCGAGTCGGACACGTAGTTGTCCGAGAGCACGCGGAAGGCGTTGGACCAGTCCTTGAAGCAGTCGAAGAGCGGCACGTATTGCTTGCCCACGAGCGTGGAGCCCTTGAACTTCTCGAGGATCTCGAACTCGCCGCCCTTGTAGCCCTTCTTGGTCATCTTGGGGTACACCTGGCACAGACGCGCCTCGCCGAGGATGTAGACCTTCTCGGTTTTGAGGTCCTTGATCTTGACGTAGTCGAAGGACTCGTTGACGCACAGCGCCAGGTTGGACGGCAGCGTCCAGGGCGTGGTGGTCCAGGCCAGGAAGGCCACGTCCGGGTCCTCGACGAGGGGGAAGTTGACGACCACGGACGGGTCGGGCGTGTCGCGGTAGTCCAGGTTGGCCTCGAAGTTGGAGAGCGACGTGGTGCAGGCCGTCGAGTAGGGCAGGATCTTGTAGCCGCGGTAGACCAGGTCCTTGTCGAAGATGGTGCGGAAGACGTTCCAGACCGACTCCATGTACCACGGCTCCATGGTCTTGTAGTCGTTCTGGCAGTCGATCCAGCGGCCGATGCGCTTGACCACACGCTCCCACTCGCTCGTGTAGCGCTGCACGATGCTGCGGCACTCGGCGTTGTACTTGTCGATGCCCATCTCGAGCACCTGCTCCTTGGTGGTCACGCCCAGCTTCTTGTTGATCTCGTTCTCCACGGGCAGGCCGTGGCAGTCCCAGCCGAAGCGGCGCTCGACGTAGTGGCCCGTCTGGTGCGCATAGCGGGTCACCGTGTCCTTGATGGTGCCGGCCAGGATGTGGCCGTGGTGCGGCAGCCCCGTGGCGAAGGGCGGGCCGTCGTAGAAGGTGAAGGGCTTGCGGTCCTTGGACAGCTCGAGCGACTTGTGGAAGGCGTCCAGCCGCTCCCAGAGCTCCAGGATCTTCACCTCCTCGTCGGGGAACGAGATGCGCTCGGGCAGCGAGCGCGACGCGGCCGGGTCTTGCGCCATCGTGTCGGTCGGGAGCTAGCTACAAGTAGTGCGGGCGGCGCGGCCAGATGCGATATGAGGAGGGATGACGTCTTTCTTGGCTTGGCTTGGCTGGCCCGAGGGCACGCACAATTGTACCGATTTTAGGGTACACCTGGCGAAAGATCTCCTGATAGGGAAACTGTTTGCGTCATGGCTACAAGTTGCCTTTTTGCCTTGAGAGCGAGTGGCGAGACTTTTTTTTGATAAGCAAGTTGTCGAAACTGCAGCGGTGGTTCATCATACTACATGTAGTGCCGCATCAATACATCACGATTAGATGAGCGTGCGACGCATTGCAGTTTGTACATTGCGGCCATGAGTGGTGGTCACCATCAGCGAAGTTCACACCAGGCCTCGGAAAAAATAATTATTCCATTGCAATTACTGTATTTTTGTACGGAAATATGTATTATTGGTTGCTGGTCGTATTGAAATTGTTATTATTGAAGCCCAATTATCATTAAAATGTTTGACCATACAAAAACCGAGTTTAGCATGATTCTCGATATAAAAGTAATTGAAATAAATACATACTATTGGTGAATGATATATTGAAATGATTATTATGGAGACCGAACTCTGCAATTCAATATGATACTGTATTTTCCGAGGCCTGGTTCACACTGCACATGCAGAGCGAAGCGCTTGGTCACAATGCACTTCCCGAAAAAGTTCTTGGCGGAGATCACCGCTGCTTGTGAGACGCTGCTCGTGAGTGATAGTCTTTCCTCGCACTCAAGCATTCTCACGTGTTCCCGTACATGTAGATGCAGATGCATTTGACAACTTCCTCCCTACCGTCCCAGGGCGAATTGTATCCAAACTCGTCGACAAACCGTGGGCGGACCAATCCAAGGCTGACTCACTCACTCTTCGTGCCGTCGAACCTTTTCGGCGACACAGCGAAACCTTTACCCAACTCAACCTGTCAGTTGAGAGTCTCAGCTATGGAGCTACATGTATCTAGCTGTTATTCTGCTTCTTAGGGCAAGCGTGAACGTGTTCTCTCGACAAGAAGCCGTCGCTGGATTCGGAACTGAGACCGAAAGATGGGGCGGCAATCTCTTCTTATGCGGCGGCGAGAATTTCTCGAGTGATTACCGACGACGCGGCGCACATTGCGCGCCTCCATCGCATATTTAAAGTGAATGGCGGCTGGTCTAGCCTCTGCCCTGAGTCATCGCAGCCCTCACAGCTCCACAGCGTTCTTCTCCTTGCGGTTGGTCCCTCGCAATATTTTAGCGACCAGCAGTGCACGCGGCACAGCAAGCCCAACTGCCTCCCTCGAAGTCACCGACCAACTGGTGGAACAGTGCTCCTTATGACGAACACTGGGCCACGCATCAATGCTCAGCCACTTGAGCCAACAACGTACTCGGTGGATACTCGCCGCCGGCTGCCGAGACAATGCGCTCGAGTTCACAGTGTTCACTTCACGCCTGCTGCTGGTTCGGAAGCGCGCCGACCACGGCTTGACTGATCCCACCGGACCATTCGCCCAGATGGAAAGCCGCACCGCTCTTCCCCTCCATCGCAGCGGAGACCGCCGCCGCGCCGTCAAGACGCGCCCCGAGTTTCCCCGAGTCCAGCGCAACAACTGCAAGCGCCGACTCGCAGACTCTTGGCACTCCAGAATTCGAACCTCCACGCTCAAGCCACCCCCCAGGATCTCTCTACGATGGGCCTGCGCGACTCGACCCGCAAGCTCCTGTGCAAGTTCGGCGCGCGCGACAAGAAGCAGCAGGAGGAGGCCGAGCAGCTGCAGCCCGTGGCGCTCGCGGGCGCCAGCAAGCGCTGCACGAACCGCTCGGAGCTCTGCAGCTCGTTCGCCGCCACCGTCGTGACCCGCGAGGAGCTCGAGGGCCGGCGGAAGGCCGCGAGCGAGGGCTGCGCCAACTATGAGCAGTGCGGCATGTGCACGCGCAGCTTCGTGGCCGGCACCAGCCGCTACACGGGCTTCTGCTCGCTGGACTGCAGGTCGGCGTCGCTCTACACGCAGTCCGCGCGCGTCTACCGGGGCCGCTACCGAGACGCCTGAACAACCAGCAAGAACTTCTTCATCATCCACCGAGCGGACACTATTAACTTACATGTGGAAGCGGAGCGCAGTGACTGGGGCGGCCATGTATTGTAGTCGTCGAGTGTAGTCGTATCCGTCGTGTGTCGCGTCGCTCCCGAGCCCGCACTTCCCTATGAGCCCAAATGAAAGCCTTTTCAAGCCGCCTGCTCCCATTGTGTTCGTTCGTCCTAGCTAATCTACGGCCGGTGCGCAGCCGGCCAGACGTTGCGCTCGGCGTCGTGCGCCACGTCCGGTTCCGAGTCGCTGTCGTCCTCGTCGCCAGCGACAACTTGCACTACGACGCCTTCCTCCCCCTCCTCCTCGCTGCTGCTAAAATCGTCGTCGTCGTCGTCATCATCGTCACTTCCATCCTCTCCCTCCTCGCCTTCTGTGTCTCCCTCCTCGTCCTCTTCACCCTCTTCGCCATCTTCACCTTCGCCGTTGATTTCGTCCTCGGAGAACATGAGCGTTCGGCAGGTCGGGCACTCGATGTTGCTGCGACAGAAACACCATACACAACACGTGAGACTGACAGTCAATCGAAGGGAACTATCCACTCAGCAGTCTGCTCGTACTGGTGCTTGACGTATGCCTTGAAGCAGCTCGCGTGCATGACATGGCCGCACGGCAGCACATTCACGCTCTCGAGCGAGTCGAAAGTCACCTGCCACACCAAACCAAGCATCAATACTCAATACCCCAAAAACCGATAGCTAATAGCGACTGGAGCAGCACTCACATCGAGGCAAATGGGGCACTCGCGGTGCATGGAGCCTTCCAGACACTTGTGCTTGGCCTCGAGCGAGTGCGGGTAGCACCCGCAGCACTTGACGCAGTGGTAGTAGTTCTCCCGCCCTCCAACACTGCCAAGCATCATCATCACCATACAACACGCTCACGTTAGCACTACGACCCACGCGCCAATCCCCCACCTCGTGTAAAGACGCACCGGCAGATGCCGCACTGGTCGCAGTGGAAGACCTTCTTCTCCGGGCCCTTGTCGTCGAAGAGGTTGCACACGGAGCAGAAGTACGCGGCCATGTTCTCGTGGCAATTGCTGCACTCTTGCGCGCACTAACATGCATACACATATATACAACACAGCAGCGTTAGCTCGAGCAGCCACAGCCTCTTGCTCGGTGGCTGGACGGACGGACGGACGCACGGGCTGCTCGGTCTGGCACAGGTCGCAGCGCATCTGCCTGATGGCGAAGCGGTCGATCTGGTGCTGCTCGCCGAACTTGTCGTCGTGGCACAGGCGGCAGCCCACCCACTGCTTGCAGCACTCGGCCAGCACGTGGCAGCGCCGTCCGTAGTGCGGGCACTTCTCTGCTGCTGCTGCTGGCGTCTCCATTCTCACTCGCGGTTGTTGGTGTTATTGCCTATCAAACGAGAACTGATACCGAGCGCACTTAGCGCGCACTTAGCGTATGGGTGTGGCGCGAACTTAACTCCATTGCTCGTCTGCAATGGAGCCGCAGCCGCGGGAGTCCGCAGCGGCGCAGCCCAAGGCGACGACGGCGCCCGCAGGCCGCCAGCTGGCACTGCGCTCGACCTTCTCATCGCTCGCAGCCTTCGCCTCCAGCGGCGTGCTCGCGCGTGCGCCCACCATGGAGGAGGGCGTCAAGTTCTCGGGCGGCGCTGTGGCGGCTCTGCTGGCCATGCGCTACGCCGGCAGCCTGCGCTCGGCCTGCGTGCTGGGTCTGCTGTCGGGCCTGTTCGCCCACTCGCTGTATGCAGACGTCCTACGCAAGAAGCGGCGGCGACGGGGCGACAAGCGGCTGGAAGGAGACGCGAGGGAGGAGAAAGAGGAAGAAGAAGAAGAAGAAGAAGAAAAGGAGGAGAAGGAAGAAGGAGAAGACGCCGCTTCAGACAGCAGCGCCATCAGCTGAGAGCTCACAGCCGCAGCGTAGATACCTTACTGCTCTAATGATTATTGTACTGCTACACGATCTCGCTGTTATTGGTTGTTATGCTAGGGCTGCACTAGAGCCTCCAGCGGGTTCTGGAGCAGGAAGAAGCGCTGGAGCTCGGCGGGACATTCCTGGCAGAACGCGGTGAAGCTAAAGGGGGAGGAAACGGAGAGGTGGTTGGCTAGGAGTTGCTGTTGTGCCTCTGGAGTGGAAGTCCCTGCGACAGCCAGCAGTGACGAGATGCATTGAGGAGCGTTGGAGTTGGCGTCGCAGTGCTGGCGCAGCAGTTGAAAGGCGCGGAACAGCCCTCGTGGGTAGCGAGGAGCGAACTCCTCGAGCTGATGGCGGTCGCTGAAGGAGCAGGACGGGTGCGTACACCAGACGAGAAGCATCGGCAGCAGATCCACGTGGCCCTCATCAGATCTGTTGCTGTCGGATGCAGTGGCAAAGAGTTGGAACACCAGCTCCTTCAGGTCGTCGGTCTGGTGCCCGTCTTGGCTGTTGCAGCGCTCCTCGAACCACAGCGGGAGGTGCCAAAAGTCCGCGTTGGAGAGGGTGACTCTGTGGTCGTGGTTGCGCTTCATCTGTCGCTTTGTCGCCGGTAGCACCATGGCGCGCTGTTCGTACGTCATTATGTCCTCCAGCGAAGGCAACCCTGCAAATTGGATGCACAGCATCAACCACACGAACTTCCGCCACGAGACTGCACCGCGAGAGGAGCACTGCTGGAGAGTGAGGGCAGCTACCGCGCTCGCATCTCTCCACGGAGCCGGAAACGCCTGTTTTGCTGCCACCTCGAGGACCAGCGCCACGAAGACTTCACTCGCGACGGCTGAGCCTCCGAACGCCCCCGCTGCGATCGGATCCGACTGCTCCCAGTTCTCACAGGCACGAACCAGAGCACTCAGCTGCGCCACTGTCACGAAGTTCTCCTTTTGTATTCGCGCCAGGCGTTTGGCGATCCCAGACAGCGAGCCAAGCTCCAAGTCCCGAATCGGCCAGGTGGCGTGCCCTCGTGATCGAATCCTCTTCATCACTTCCGCAATCGCCTTGTCTTTTGTGTGGATATCGTCTTGGACGGCCTGCTGTAGCCGTCGTGCATCACTCGCGTAAAGCTGCCCTGCCACTTGCCTCAGCCGATCAGCAAAGCGACACAGTAGAGCTACTTGCTGGAGCAGCCGAGAGATCTCGTGTGTCGTCACACTCGTCTCGCTCAAGGTGTACTGCTGCGTGGGAGGTTCATCGGCCATGTGGAAGGAGTACTCGGATGCCACTTGGCCGAGGATATTCAGAACCTCCTCTCCAGCAAGTTGAGCCACATCTCCACCTCCGGCCTTGTCACCTCCCAGCTCTGAGGCAGCGCTCATCGCCTCCCGAGTGAGTATCTTCGACAAAACCACCTTCCGCCCCGAGTCTTGCAAGCTTTCACTGAGGAAAGGCACTCGATCGTACAGACTGGAGTGCAGCAACTCGAGCTTCTGCATGATGTAGTCCTTGAGCACGAAGCAAATGGAGGGGAGAGCCTGGTACACGAGATCCACAACGCTCATCACTTCTGGAAATGGGTCTTGGGCGAAGGCGCTTACAAAGTCGTTGCCTGCTACGCGGTTGAAGTCGGCCATGTCCCCCAAAGAGACTTCGAGCTCCGTCAAAATGCGCTACGCACGATCACAATCAAGAGGTTGGTCAGAGCCTTCGTCGACAGCCATGTGAAGTGAATCAGCCTTACCTCTCGGAGCTCGTGGCTAGAGTTCCCATTCGCTGTCCTCAGCCTCGTCGCGGCCTGCTCCAGAAGAGCTTGGAACGAGTCAGCCCCACTCAGCAGCTCGCTCTCCAGATCCTGCTCGGCAGTGACAGCGAGCGTGGAGATGGCGTGTACAGCTGAGCGGATTGTTGCCATGGGCTCACGAATTTTCTGGTGCAGACTCTCGTCTAGCTGCGAGTTGGAAAACGTCAGCGGGAGCACGATACGATGAGCACGTATTCAACACAAATGGAGTGAGCTCTTCTCACCTTTTGCAACATGTTCATGAGGTTGACAAAGACGTCGTCCGGGAGGTCAATGTCCTTGGAGGCTCGCATCCACAGCATTCGATCTATGGTACTCATGGACTCGCGTCTCCTGTGGCGTTCGTCTTTCAGCTGTTCGGGGAGTGTATCAGCCGCACACTCGATCACTGCAGGCATCGTTTTGTACAGACTCTGGGTGTACAACTCGATGCACAAGTGGAAAACTTCAGCCAACACGGCTCGGTGCAGCCCCGCCTGTTTGATCTGGATATGGCGAGTAGATTGACTCCAGTAAGCTTCCAGGCTGGCCCGCTGCTCGTCGTTACGAGCTCGCAGCTCCTCGTCGGGGGTCATTTTCCGTTGGCTTTCGGCGGATTGCAGCTTCAAAGACGAGGGCCTGGCCAAACCGGACGTCGAGTCTGAAGCTTGCAGGGTTTTGTCGCCGTCCAGTGGCTCTGCCTGTGGAGGAGGGTCGAGCGATATTGACACAACGCAATCCCACGCAGAGACAACAGCAGGAACTGATACTGTCGCGTCCTCTGGTATCCCCGAGCCTGCTTCTTGAGTAGCTGTGGCGCTGGGATCGCTCTCATCGCTTGGGAGGTCTGCCAGAATGGCCTTTTCCAATAGCTTGGCTTCGTCCAGATTTCTGCTCCAGGAACCAACGCTCAGAAAGTGTAACAAGCACAATAATCCCAGGTGGAAAAGTGTGCCTACCTAGGGAAATTGTGTAGCATGCATCCGCCCACTGACGGGTTTGAGGCACCATCGATGGCTGCTTCTCGTCTGCAGAGCGAGACGGCTTTCGCGACGATATCTACCGCCATTGTGTCGGGGATCGGCGTGTTCTTCTGTCGGAGGGCAGAGATCTTCGAGCCGAAAGCACCGAGCTCCCGCTGTCACAAAAGCCACCAGACACTCATTAGTCATTCATCACATTCCGTTGCAAGCCAAGATGCAGCACACCTCCCGGTCACTCAGAGCCGCCACTTGATCTCCTAGCTTCTGAGGGTCGTAGCTCAACTTTACACATTCGTCTACGAGCAGATCCAGTTGCAGGAACGCCAGGTGGTGCTCTGTCGAGACGCGTTGAGCAAGCTCGACGCCGCTTTCGTCCTCTGTGAACACACTCAGGAAGACGAACGAGGGAGGGAAGCTCCAACTTGTATCCAACGCTGCGCCCTGTTGCCCCCAACTGTCAGCCAGAGCTTGAATGTCGGGTTTGACGTCGAATGTGGTAAGTCGGGACTGCAGCGGAAGCGTGGCCCAGACTTCCGAGCCCGACAAAAAGTTCTGAATCGATACTTCCAGCTCATAACGCAGTTCCTGCCCACCCTGATCGCAGTGTGAAGGCTTTGAAGGAGCGACTTGAAGGAAGAGTTGCTTCTTCAGTGGGGTAATATCAAGTACGTCCCTATCGCTACAACAACGACAACACGCTAGGTGAGTTGACCCCCCCCTGAAATCTCTAGTAGTCTTACCTGGACGATACGACTGCCAGTGCTAACGAAATCAATCCGTCTAATGCATCAGAGCACACGTCCCACTTGCGGAGCTGCTCCTTCTTCCGCGTCGCCGAGCGAAGCTCCTCCAGCACCTTCATGTCTTCTTCCCGCCTCATACTTCCAGACTCTCGCAAGCGTGCGTAGTTCTCCTCCAGCTCTTCTCGCTTGTCATCCAAGTACTTTTGACGTGGATCTACTACAAGAGGCCCACTCTCCTCTGGTACCTCCAACGCCTTGGCTGCGTCTGCATCGGTCAGATGAATGGAGTTTTGGTTATCGCCACCCTGCAGCCTTCCCGTCTCATGAGCCTCAATAGACTACAATATCATCGAGTACGCATGAGTTTTCAGCCATTCACCAGTCAATTAGTAGAGCAATCACCTTCTTCTGGTCCGCTAGGGCTTTCTGTCTCCTCATACGACGGTCTTTCTCCGCTGCTAGCTGCGCCTTCCGCCGCTTCCGCAGTTCTTTCATCATTTTGACGTTGTTCGAAGGCCGGAAGTCGAGATCGTCCACGCGCTTCTCGAGGCTGCGGAAATGTGCAAGCGAGCCAGCGTCACTCGCTGGAATTGCATGCAGAGCTTGTTCTGCTCCGCCAGAAGCCAGCCCCAGTCTGTTCATGTTCTTCTCGAACTCGACCACCCCAACTGCAGCATCTTGCTGGCTTTCTGCCAGTTTAGCCTCGGCATAAATTTGCCTCCGAGCTTCCAAGGCCAGCTCGAGTCGCAGGTCATCGCGCTCTGCTGCGAGGTAGCGGCGCTGGTACATGGAAGACAATTAAACTCCATACATCGTTGCAGTTGTCGTTGAGTAGTGCGACTTACCTGGGTTTGCTGCCACTTTTCGTGGTGTTCACGGTCCCAATCGCGCATGAACTTTGCCTTCTCTTGTAGATGAGCGCGTGCGGCAGCGTACCCTGCTGCCGAGTTGGCACTTTTGTCGGCTTTGGCTTGTTGGTGCAGCTGCAGGGGAAATAGCAAGGTAGAGTAAGTAAGTTCTAGTCACCATGATTTACGCATACGCTTGACCTTACATCGTCTAGCTCGTTTTCAGCGTTCCACTGCGCTTGCTCGAACTTGCGCAGGTACACAGCCATGTCGACGCCCTTGTGGAAGCGAACCTCTTTCGGGTGAAACTTCTTGGTCGTGGTCGCTATGAAGCGCTCTTCAACGTCGCGTGGAGGGAGATCCGACTTGGTGGCACTTGACGTCGCTTTCGTGGGCTCCTCGATCGCTAGTGACTTGGCCTTGGCTGTATCCGGTCTGCCTTTGGGGCGTCGGCGTAGGAAGTCCTTGAGCTGCAATAGAAACTGGAGCACAGCGGAGCGCTCCTCCATCATGATAGCCCGGCGGGTGTTCACTGGGAACGGGACACAGAGCCCCTCGAACTTCTGGCCTAGGAGCTCCATGTTGTGGATCTTGGCTGCAGTGGTGGACGAGGTTTCGTACCTCTCGAGATGCGGCTCCAAGCCTTGCAGGTGAAGCACCTCTGCGATGATGTACCCGTTGCTGGCGTCCCGCTCCAGCACCTCAACTTTGTGGTGCAGTTTGAGTTCATCGTTCAGCCACCGCAGCAGCAGAGCGCTCATGACTGCCGGCTATGGCTAGTGGCCACTTCTACAACAACCGACAATGACAGAAATACCCATCCTGTCGCCTCAAAGTGGATATGGTGGCTTTCAGGCTGCATGAGCCTACCACTTTGTCTCTGATGCACGGCCGGATCAAGAAGGTATTAAAACCATGCATCAACGTTTGCATGGTCAGCACGTATTGGTATTAGTAGAGTTACATTGGTTGACCATGCGGTTGATGCGGTCCAGCTTCTGACGTCGCGGCATGGGCGAGCGGCGAGTCCACGCCGTCAACTGCATGATGCGCTGCTCCAGCAGCTTCTCGTCCCACAGCAGCGTGTCCACCGAGAATCTTCCGGCAAACACACAACACCGTCAGCAACCTCCCTCCTTTCAGCCCAGGTTAAGGACAACTCACCCGCTCGGGACACCTTCCTCAATGGCTGGAGACGCTTCCAGGCTCTGCTGTTCACGCCGGTGTCCATGACGCAGCGGGACATACCCTACACAATGATACCCGTTCAGTTCCACTCGTCACCGCTCATTCTTTATCAGAGCCAAACGCCCACCTTCCGGAGGGATCGGCGGCTGCCCGATGCTCGTAACGACCACCACCTCCTGGTTCGGGTAGAATCTGGCCCACTTGTCGCTCGTGTAGAAGCCCACGCCGTCCGCCGTGACACCCCTCGTGAGCTCCTGGTTGTCCGCGTCGCGCTCGCTACCAGACGACGACGACGACGACGAAGCGGAAGAGCCTCCACTGCCACTTCCACTGCAGCTGCCGCTCTGCTCGTGTGCAGCCGCGTCCAGACTGAGGGCCTCCACTTGGTTCTGCATCTCCTGACTCTACAGAGAGCGAGGTCACACCCACCCACCCACGCACAGACTCACTCAGTCGCCGAGCTAAACGGAGCAGTGAGGGGCCCACGCAGTGTGGGGCCTCCCCAGCAGCTTTTTCTATGGATTCTAGGCCGCTCCTAGCCGACCAACACACGCATCAACACGCAGAGCCTGCGCCACCCACCGCCGAGACGCCGTCGTCGCCGTCCTGAGCCGCCATCCGTACCGCGCGCGCCTTTTGAAAAATGATAATTGGTGTGTCGCACACCAAGTGACCCCACGTGACCATGTTGAGGCCCCCCTCAAGAAGCTGTCACATGCGGTTCTCGGCGAAGACGCCGTGCTGCAGCCACCTGTGCGCCAGCGCCTCGCGCGCGGACAGGCGGCGCGCCGGGTCGATCTGCAGCAGCGCGCGCAGGAAGTCCAGGAACTCTGGGTCTTTCGTGGGCACGGCCTCTTCCAGCGGCGGCAGCTGGAGACTCGCAGCCAGCACGCCGTTGCCCAGGTGGTCCACTGCGAAGAGCCCCGTGTCCATCAACTGGTGCTGCAGGTCCTCGCGCCCGTCCAGCATCGACGCAGGGATGGGGCCGATAGTCGCCAGGATCCGAGCCAGCAGCGTCTGCTCCGAGTCGTTGCGGAACAGAACCTCGCCTGTGTACATCTCGGCGATGACGCACCCGAGCGACCACAGGTCGATCTTTGTGTCGTACATGAGTCCGAGGATTACCTGGTGATAGATGACCAAACAAAGTTAGGACAGGTGCAATGGTCAAGCTGAGGTGAACTCGCCAACTTACCTCGGGGGCGCGATAGGATCGCGATTGAATGTAGGACGTGAGCTCGTCCGTCGTGAAGCACGCGGAGCCAAAGTCGATCACCTTGACGGTGCACGCGCTGAAGTTTTGGATGAGGATGTTCTCCGGCTTGAGGTCGCAGTGCACAAGTCCCAGCGAGTGCAGGGTGTCCAGCGCTTCAAGCACCTCGATCGCGATCTTTTTCAGTCGCGAGATGTTGAAGTAGTTGATCACACCGCGCTGCAGCAGTAACCGAGAGAATTCATACAAGTTGTCGCGAAGGAGCTGCAAGTAGAGACGAACAGTAAAACATGTTGGTGTCAGCCACGGAGTAGAATCTTGCTCACCCAGGGATTTGTGTGACGCACCTCTGTGACGATAATCAGGTGTTCGCGGAAGTAGAACGCATCCAGAAGGCGCACGAGATGCCTCTCGTCCACCTTGCAGTTGCGGTCAATGTACTCTAGCACGCGAATCTCGTCCACGCCTTGGTCAAAGTACTCTTTGTTGTTCTTGATGATCTTCAGGCATACCGACTGCTCGGTGGTAGTGTCGACACACTTGTATGTTCGGCTGAAAACGGCTTCTCCAATAGCCATCTCCACCTGCGCAGAATACATTATTCACAATTAAGTTAGCCGTATAATTCATACTAAAGAGTCAGGTCAAGCCACCACGCACCCTGTATCGATTCCCGATCAGTGCTCCTGCACGAGGACGCCAGTCCTGGTTTGGCTCAAACCCAGTGCGATTCTTTTCGCGGATAATACGCAGTTGGAACACCTCGTAGTCCTTTGGTTCATCGTCATCATCGTCATGACTCCCATCGGACCCTTCATCTCCTTCGCCACCACTTGCGTCGTCTCCTTCTTTGATATCAACTGTGTGAACGACGTCGGCTTTCTGTGACTTCTTGCCATCCAGATCATTCTGGAATGTCGTCACCTGACCTTCAATCGGAGATCCAACCACAAACGCACTTGCCAACGCCTCCTTGTTGCTAAACTGCGCCATACCATTATCCAATCCGCCATCGTCACCGACATCAGCATCAAAATGTGCCAAACTGTTGGCTAGTCCTTCTCCGTCAGCATCATCGTCACCACCAGCTTCACCGCCTTCATCCTCATCGTCGTCCATTTCAAAGAGTTTCTCCTCCGTCTCATCGCCCAGAGTACCAACGTCTGCATTCTCCTCGTCTCCCTCTACGTCGTCCTGGAACGTTTCGTCCTCGCAGACCGAGCTCACCATCTCACTGTAGACTTCATCCTCCACCCGGACAGTGTTATCCTCCTCCTGTGTGAACGCAAACTGGTTCGGCTGTCGCGGCCACAACGCCGACACCGGTTCGCCGTCCATCGACGTCGTGCCAGGCGACACTCCCAGCCCAAAGGACGACTGGGGCGAGCTCGAGATCCTCGCGGAGCTGCCGCCGCCGAAGCTCGTGTGGACGATGCCGATGGGGTCCGAGATCATGTCGTCCATGGCCGTGAGCGTCTCGTCCGTCATACAGAGCTGGTTGACGGCCTCCGCCAGGTCGTTCTCGTACTCCTCCCCGTAGTCGCTGCTGCTGCTGCTGTCCTCACTAGAGTCCTCCTCCTCGTCCTCCGCGTGACTGTGCTGGTAGTTGTCGTAGACCCCCATTGACGTCGCCGGACGTGCAGGCAGCGGACTGGGATCGGTGCCCTCGTCCTCGTCTTCGCCCTCACTGACGGCCTGGCGACCGAGGTCCCAGCGCCGCAGATTGTCCTCCGAGAGGCTGCCGCGCAGCATGGCGCCCTCCTGCACCCCCAGCAACTGCTGCTGCTGCAGCTGCCCCGTGTCGAAGAAGCGGTGCAGCAGCGAGTTCTCGTCGCCCATCTCCTGGTGCAGCGCCTGGCGCAGCCGCTCGTTCGTGTGGATGCGCTCCACGGCCTTGGGCACGTTGGCGATGGACTCGAGGATCATCTCCAGCAGCTCCTTGCGCTCCAGCTCCTTGCGCTTGTGCCGGTCGTCGGCGCTCGGCGCGGACGTCACGCGTCGCAGGAACGACATGGGCGGCCGGAACGCATCGGAAGAGACGCCGCGGGCCGTGGAGGCCGCCATCGGAGGCGTCGAGGACATGGAGCCGAGCCGGAAGAGGAAGTGATTCCTTTTGGCTTCGAGGTCACTCGATAAAGAAAAGACCCCTCTGATTTTCGGCTTCGATGTCACTCAACTAAGGTATATCTGCCTCGATATTGTGGCATATCCTGCAATCATTGCAATCATTCCGACACGATGCCGCTGTTGCGGAGGCTGCTGCGCCCCGAGGAGCTGGGCGACGCGCCTGCAGCCGCGACCGCCACGGCCGAGCAGCTCTTCGCCTCGAGCATTTACTCGCAGGAGCTGCGCGCGCAGCGGCAGAAGGCGGCGGCTCTGTGCAGTGCCCCATTGGTGGCCATATCCTCGCTGGCGGCGCGGCAGAATGACACGAGGTCAGTCATGTTTGCAGTATTTTATTGGGTGTAGGCAATGAGAAGGAGGTACTGATGTGCATTGCAACGATGGCGGGGCAGATCAGAGCTAGGAAACCTGTTGGACCAGGCTGCAAGTTGCAGTATTGAGGTGTGTCGTCGGTCAAGAGGCTGAGGTGCTGCAAGTCGTCTCGCTCATGGGTATGATGTCTACGTCGTTCACTGCTGCCAGCAATGCGTGACTGCCGCCTTGATGGTCGCCAAGGACAAAAGGCAGGTGCTGTTCCTGGTTCGAGACCCGAAGCTGGTGACGAAGCGCTTGGCGGCGGCTGTTTCGAGCCCCGACGCAGCGGTGCCGACGAATTTAGCGGCCGAATATCTCCATCGAGTGCGTTTCCGCCAGTGTCGGAGTGTCTACGAGCTGCTGTGTGAGCTGGATCGCGTGGAGCGTGTAAGCTGTTGCGGTTTGCAGTGATGGAAACGTCCAGATACTTGACTGACGGTTCTGAGATGGAGCAGGGTGCGCAGGATGGAGTGAGGATCCAGCTCGTGGCGCTCGGGCCGCTTTGCGATCTATTCGCTGGCTTCCAGACGGCGTCTGGTATCACGGCCACCGGTACGTGCAGCTTTAAATCTTTTATGCTGCCTTTAATCTTCACTCTCGACCGCGACTCAGTCCAGAATTGGCCTCGAACTGCTGCAGGTGCGGGGCTCAAGCGCTTGGTGGAGCTCGCGATCAAGCGGCTGCGCGCGACGCCCGGCATCCACGTCAGCGTCATAGAGGTCGAGACGAGCTAACTATCAGCTTGAATAGAGTTTCGACCTCACAGCTAGCTAGAGGTCACAGTATCAACTGTACGTCTCTCCAAGATCCATCAGCAGCAGAATGCGCCGGGAATGCAGCAGCACTTTTGAAAATTCAGAGCCTCTTGCAGGCAGGTAGCAACGCCCGCGCTTCCGTTTCGATGGAATGCAGCGTCGCATTGCCGACACCGACGCCGTTGGCCCATTCGAAGTGACCGGGTGGCCCGTGTCTCCGCCGTTACCTCACAATCCCAAAGCAAACAACTGCCGCGCTTGTTGACTCGCCTCTTTTAGTCAAAGTGTACCAATAAATCGGTACCTTCCCGCACTATCCCTGTCCTATCTATCGTCAGTTCGAAGTCGAGCAAGCCGCGCCGAGTCGCGCACACACTCGCTTCGACGCCGAGCTCAGCAGCTCAGCAGCCCACCCAGCTCCACGCAGATCTCCCCGCAAGCAGTACCGTAGACGACATGGCTCTGGAGACGCTCAGCGCGCGGCCACGCGCCCAGTCGGGCGGCGCCGGCCTCCTGCAGACGGCCAAGGCCGGCCACGTGTCGGTGGACATGCGCCCGGAGTTGAACGACGAGGAGGGCGCGAGCTCCGAGACGGCGCAGCTGCTGGGCGAGGACAACAGCGACAACAACGGCGGCAGCAAGAGCAGCAAGACCGCCAAGCAGCTGAGCGTGGACCTGGAGGCCGCCGACGACCAGGAGCTCAAGAAGAAGGAGAAGGCGGGCGCCGCGGCCAAGACGTCGTACGTGGCGCCCTCGGTCGTGGTCTTCTGGCTCAGCATGTGGTTCACGCAGAACATCGGCGTGACGTTCTGGAACAAGAAGGCGCTGGGCGCGCTGCGCCTGCCCGTGACGCTCACGTTCGTGCACATGGCGTGCAACACGCTGGGCGCGTTCCTCTTCATCCACGTGTACAAGGGCATCGAGCGCAAGCCGCTCAAGCCCGGCCAGAAGCAGCTCATGGTCTACTTCTCGCTCATCTTCGTGAGCAACATCATCACGGGCAACTGGAGCCTCGGACTCGTGTCCATCTCGTTCAACCAGGTCATGCGCGCGCTCGTGCCGGCGGTCGTCGTCGTGCTCAGCATGCTCATCCTCGGCAAGTCGTACTCGCTCAAGCGCAAGCTGTCGCTTGTCCCCGTGGCTTTTGGTGTCTACTTGGCCTGCACGGGCGACAACTCGTGCACGGTGCTGGGCTTCATCATCACGGTCGTAGCCATCATCTTCGCTGGCCTGAAGGCGGTGCTGTCCAACAAGGTACGGGCGGACTGCGTTGATACATTCTGGGAACTTCTGGGCTGCGACTTGATGTTCTAACTGGCGCTTTGTGTTGTATGGATTCAGTTCCTGAGCGGCGACCTCAAGCTGCACCCCGTGGACTTGATCCTGCACCAGGCGCCGCTGTCGGCCTGCTGGTGTCTGATCACCATGTTCCTGACCGGCGAGGTGGACACCATCATGAACAACTGGGAGGTCGTGCCGTCCGCCAGCTTCTGGTTCGTGCTCACCGGCATCATCAGCTTCATGCTCAACGTGACGAGCTTCATGGCCAACAAGGTCACGTCGCCCGTGACGCTCTGCGTGTGCGGCAACATGAAGCAGGTGGTTGTGATCGTCATGTCCATCCTCATCAACCACGACGTCATCACCGTGCAGAAGGCCATCGGCATCGTCGTTGTATCTATCGGTGGCGCCACCTACGCCTACATCTCGACGAAGGAGACAATGGGCCAGTCCACGCTCCCCGCACCAGCGAAGACGAAGGTGCAGACGCAGACGGCGTAACTCGGTCTTGACCGCGGCTGATCAACACGCTCGCGCGCGAGATAACGTTACCTCAATATTGACGCGTATGTTATGCTATAGACAACCAACCACAGGCTTAGAATGGACGTGAAGGTTCATTTCAAAGGGGAAAATGAAGAAAAAGATGAAGATACACAAGTAGTCTGGGTCATCCATCGTACGTCGGGCAAGCATGCTGCCAGCGACCTCTACTCGTACAGGAGTCGTCTTTATCTGTTGCACGTCTCTCTCTCAGAACTCGTGCGTGTGCGCGAGCCGGTATCGGATCATGTCCATCCGCCCGGGAGCGTCGCGAACAACGTCAGCGTGCAGTACTCCCACCAACGCAAGGAACGCGACAACAATGGGAATCAGGACTAGTGGTGACGACCTGTGCAGTCCTGCGAGCTGGAGGCCTGCAAGCTCCTGCTCGCCGTTGTCGTCGTCTTGTGTGTGAGGCAGAGCGGCTGACTCATGCACAATATTCTCCACAAGCTCCACCTCACTAAAGGCACCAAGCCACTTAGTCAGATACTCGAGGATCTGCTCGCGCTGCTTCTTCAGCGGCTCGGGGACGTCCGGGTTGGCACGCAGATCACCACAGTGGCCGCACAGCTCGCACTTGGCCAAGTTGGCAATCTCATCGTCCGACAGAGTGTCCAGCACCGACGCACGTTGCCACGGATCATCGCCGCCGTTCGAGAAGAAAATCTTGTGGCCAGTCGGGTGGTCTCCTCCATACAGCTTGCTGATCTCCTCAACACCTTCAGAAGGGTTCACGACGTCACCGAAGACAGTCTTACACTGCTTCAAATGGTAGTCCAGGTCTACCATCGCCGCGCGCAGGCTTTTCTCTGTGGGGGCGACCTGGAAGTACGCGAGCTGAGAACATTTCTGCCAGCGCCAGGAGCGACCGTCTCCCCAGCGAGCTTGATCGTGAGCCAGGCACTTGGTATCGTAGAAGCACTCGCTACCGAAGGAAGCCCCGTACATGTCGATCGTGAAGTTGGCGAACGATTCGACCAGCGAAACGTTGCGCTCGAAAGCACCGACCATGCTTTCACACACAATGTCCTTGTGGCCGTACTGCACCGCCATCGCGGCGGCATCTGCGATCATGTAGAAGAAGTCGGGGTCAGCCAGCTCTTGAGCGCCGAAGAGCCCCTTCACTTTCGTCGCGTTGCCGCTTGCAATCTCCTTCTCAAACTCGGCAGTCGTGAGACGGAGCACATCCGCGCAGGACGGGCCGGCCGCCAGCGCCACCTGCTCGTCGAACTGGTGGAACTTGTACACGGGCTGCACGACACCCGAGGACGACAGCGACGCGACGGTCGTGTCCGGGTATGCAACGCGGAACCAGGCCGACAGAGCTCCAGGATAGGACCCTCCGATGGCGATCCACTGGTTGGCGTCCTCCGCGCCCAGTTCCCTCTGATAACTCTCCTTGAAGTGCTTGAGATCCGCCAGCGCCTGCTGCACCGTCAAGTAGCGGTAGTTGGCCGTCGACAGGTCTCCATTGGGCACGCTCTTGCCGTAGAAGCGGTGCTCCAGAGCCACAATCTACAGTAGAAGAAAAGTGAATAATTAATGAGAAAACTAACAAAGATACTTTTGTCTTCAAGGTCGAGTGGCACACCACACCTTGGCTCCGAACTTCTGGGCGATGACGTGCACGAACCCAGCGGGGGCCTGCTCCAGCGCGCCCTCGCCTCCGATATAGAGGATCACAGGCCCACTGGGCGCCTTCCAGAACTCGTCCACCTCGTAGTAGCGCTGCTTGAACGTGGCGTTGGCGTCCGAGGAGAAGTGGTCGAGCTGCTGGCTGAACCAGAGCTGCTGCGCCGGCGCGCGGAAGAGCTGCTGGTCCTCCGCCTGCAGCAGCTGCCACAGCCGTCCGTCCTTGGCATGCGGGGGGAACGTGGAGGCTTCGGTGCCGCCGGTGCAGAGCGCTAGCAGCAGCAGCAGCGCCAAGAGCAGTGCGGCCATGGTAGGCTGAGATATTGGGGTGCTGAAAGGATGTGTCCTTCCGTCAAACGATGTCGTCCGAATGTGGCGACAACTATGCGTAAATTACCCACATAGCCAGAACTTCAACTTCGGCTTCAACTTGACTGGCGATCCCCCCAATCGGAGCGTACAACGAAGTTGTCGGCCAGCAATCCCCTTGCTGCTGTAGTGCTCTAGTGTTTGGTAAAGTGAACACTGCAGCTGCAGCTTCACCAAACGATCAGAACTGGAAGTCGCTGGTCGCTGCATTTAGCGCTCAAGCGACGCGTAACGGACCTCCTTGCCCAAACTGCACAGCCCAGTCCAATACTGCTCGCCCCCCCCCCCCCGCATTCGCTAGCCCGTGAGCAGCTTCATCATGGCTGAAGTCGGTACGTGTGTGGCCGCCGTATTGGAATTTGAAGGAGCAACGACATGCTCACCACTGTTGTGTTGAGACAGAAGTGCAGCGCGTCCTGGCGACGATCAACCAGGTCTTCGTCTTCCAGATCCCGCCGCAGACGTCGGCAGCCGGCCACAGGTACGGAGCTGCTTCACCATCTATGAGCGGACATGGCACTAATTGAGGTTGTGCCTTTCAGAGCCGACTCGTGGCCCAGCACGCCGGCATGGACCGGCCGCTTGCAGGTCTCGTCCGTCGGCGAAGACGCCGTCATTGAGCTCAAGGATCCCAACACAGGCGCCTTGTTCGCAGCCTGCCCGATCAAGGCTGGCGGACCGCCTGCCATTCAAAAAGGTAAGCCAAGACCACCGCTACTTCTTCGTTCATATTCATTTCAGCGTACTAACGCATCGAATTCAATCCTACAGTCGTCGACAGTAGTCGCTACTTCGTCCTGCGCGCCGTCGATCGCGCCTCTGGTAGGTTCCTCACAGCGATTCTTCTGTCTCTGCCATTATACATTCACGTTTACTAACGCTCTGCTCAGGCCGCCACGCCTTCATCGGCATTGCGTTTAACAACCGCAGCGACGCCTTCGACTTCAACGTTGCTATCGACGACTTCAACAAGTGCGTCGTGCCAGTCTAAAGATCCCCCTTGTGCTTGAGTACTGACGATTTGCGTGTGTCCAGGGAACTAAAGCGCGAGAAGACTCAGCAGCAGACCACCACTTCGGCCCCACCTGTCGACTACTCGCTTAAGGAGGGCCAGACCATTCGGGTCAAGCTCAACACCAAGAAGAAGAGCGCCGACAAAGCCGAGGAGGAGGACGATATCGATCCGTTCGCCTCGTCGAGCTCGCCGAAGAAGGCGAGCAGCAGCACCACTGCTAGCGGTGAAACCGATCTGCTGGGGTTCTCCAGCGCTGCGTCGACCAGCAACTGGGAGACCTTTTAAACCGCGCGCGCAACTTGAGACCGAAAACTTTCACGTATTTAGTCTCGAAAATCTCCTAAAAACTGCCTAAAATTGCTCCAGTTTTTTTTCCTTCCACGTTGAAGTTGATGGTCTCCGATATTTTTTTTTTGAAAGAGATCGATCAGATCCGCCCAACAAACGAATCAACCGCCATGGGAGGCGCCAAACGCTGGAAGAACGGAGAGATGTGGTCGGGAAGACGTCGCTCGGCCAAGACGGGCAGATTGAGCTCTGCTGCGGATACGGAGCCGCCAAAGCTTCGTCTGACTGGGACGCTGCTTCTGCGCAAAGACCTTCTTCACGACTTCCTGCTCTACTTGGACGCTGACAGCCTGCTGGCGCTATGCACGGCCATGGGCCGACTTCGTGGAGCTCAGGGCCACAGGAACGACCAGGCTTCCAGGGCATTCCCCATTCTTCGAGACAATGACTGGTGGCGGCACTTGCTCCAAGCGCATTGCCAGGTCGACCTCGATACGCTTCAAATGCACCGCAGTGTATCGGTGCTGACGGGCGGCTGCGACGCACTGGCGGACTATTTGAGTCTGCGCGCTCAACTTGAATGTTTCGCGCGCTGCGTTCACGTGGTGAAGGGCGATCTGGAGACCATTACGAGTGTTGGGGACGAGCAAGTCGACTGCCTCGTGTTCCCAGCATCCACCACGTACCAGGACCCAGGGAGGGGCGTTGCTGGTCGGGTGCATGAACGCGCAGGGCCCAACCTCAACCTCCTGGTGACGAACCTTGCCTTACGACGAACTGCGAAGGCCGGAAGCGTGCTGTGTACCGTGGGGTGTGACTCTGGAGTGCGATTGTTGGTGCACTGCGTGGGCCCTGTACACGCTGAACGGGACGCAGATACACTGCTGTACAAGGCGTACGTGAACGCACTGCTTGCCGCTGACAATAACCACGTCAAGTGCGCGGCCGTGGCTTCCATTTCGACGGGGTTGTATCGCTTTCCCAGTGCCTCAAGCTGCAGACATCGCGCTGAGTGCTGTTCGCGACCTGATTCGACTGCGTCGCCACTGGAACATCAAGGTTGCATTTGTCTGCATCGACTACGACGTCTACGAGAACTTCCAGCGTGCTCGCCAGGAGACCAGCCAAGCCTTCCATACGACGGGGCTCGCGTTCCCGCACTTGGTGATGGAGTTGTCGATGGAGGAGCCAGTAAATGGCCACGAAGCTTAGGACAAGCAACTTGGAAGACTCCGAGATAGGACGAAAGACGATAGCTGATTCCTGAGTATCTCGGGTAGCCATTTCACATGCGTAGGTATGCAAAATATCGCTTTACGAGCGTTTTACCACAGAATGACACTTACTTGTCCTTGCGTTCTGATATCATTTGCTTGAGGCGGGTCATGTTCAGCGGTGGGAAGAGATTTTCATACCGCTTCCAGGCACGACGCGGTTGCCGTGACGAACGCGCTTGATCATCGTCATTAGAACGGTCTCGAGTGTGGGAACCGAGTGATTGACATACTGCTTCCAGCGAATATTTATCGGCGACGATAGTTGCGCGGTCAGACTGAGGCTTCCGTCGGGGTACGAATGGAGTAGATGGTTGCTCAAATTGAGGCGATTGGGACCCACCTTCAAATGTTGAGAGGATCTCGCGGCGGCGACGCTTTTGGGCTTGTGCGCGTTGTTGATCATCACTTCGTGGCTGCGGTGATGACCCATTCGTAGTATTTTCTTGCACGGCACTGGTAGCTGCAGGTGATGGAATCTCGGGGTTAGCTTGCTCGCGATTACGCTTTGGGGCTCGTCTAGCCTGGATCAAGCCGTTGTCGATTGGGTCGACAGAAATGACGAGCTTGGACGGACTCTTAGCTGGTGATAGCTTAGCTGAAACATCTGTCGGGAGGATAGGGTCTTTGGCGTCGGGAGGTGAGGCAGGATGGCTGTCGTCGCTGCTACCTTGGCTTGAATTACTCGAGTGTTGTGCTGGTGACACACTCGACGCCTGCGCAGCTTCTTCCACCCTCTTTCCCGCGTCTGGTGTTCTTGCTTGCACAGATGGAGTCGGCGTTTTGAGATCCGGCTTCGCCTCCTTTGGCGGTGATTTTTTCTCGGGAGTGACGGTGATGTCGGGAACCTCTTCAGTCAGGGTAAGCTCGTCGTCAACAGAGTTTGATGCCGAAGCTGCGGGATTGTGAACGCCACTGACTGTGTGCTCATCATGTGCGGGTGCCGACCTGGGGGATGCCACGTCGTCCGAAATCATGCCCTCGTATTCGAAGGCGTTGGCGTCTTCGTCGTTATCGATAGCGTATTGCAGCACCACAGTCACCTGAGACGAGATGTATTCCTCCGGCTCGTCGTGTTTGTTCTGCGCGTCTTGTTTTTCCTCCTCGGACTGATCAAGAAGCTGCGTAGCTTGCAGGTCATTCTCGGTAGACTCATCCATTTCTTCATCTGTCGGTTGACCATTCGAGTGGGAGTCCTCGGCGGACGGAGTCCCTATGCCAACCAAATTCGACGCAAACTCGTAAATTTTACGCCAACCAGTCGAGCGCTTCTGCGTTTCCGGTGTCTGCTGTGAAGTATTAGAGGATGCTTGATCTGCTCCAGCTTCACTTGTGGCTTGTAGCGAGTCGTCAGCTTCGATCTTGAGCTCAACGTCCTGCGTAGACTTTGCTGCTGAGGTGGGTGCTGTGAGTGGAGCCTTTTCGGGCGAATCGACAGTCAGATCCACAATCATGCACGAGCTCTGGGACGTCTTTGGCGTCGTTGGCGCTGGGCTCGAGTGAACAGACTCGCTAGAAGTAGTTCGTTGCCGTGTTCCTGGCGTGCTGGGCGTCACCTCCTTCCCTTCTTGAACGCCGTCGTGTTCATCCTCCGTGTCGCTTTCCACCACGAACGTCTCTCGGATGTTCTCCTGCTGGAACGGGTACTTGGGACTGTCCACAATGGAGTCTACACTCACATCCCCGCTCAAAGTCACCGAAGGGTTCCCCGGCAGCGTCACCGACGACGCCACGGAGTTGCCCGATAACGTCACCGACGATACCATGGAGTTGCCTGACAGCGCCACTGACAGGTCAGCGGACGACGCGAGCGAGTCCTGCGTCGACTGCGCTGCTTTATCCTGCGACGCGGGTCCGCGCGCCACCTGAGACTCTGGCATGGGCACATGACCGTTCTCCTCGATGAGCTCCGAGTCGTTCGGCTGCACGTCCACTGTGGTCGGGAGTCCCCAGTCGTCCTGCTCCTCCAGCTGCTGCTCCTGGTCCTCCGGGATGACGCAGTCCTCCTCCCGCAGCGGCCGGTCGTCGTCGAACCCGTCGCTCTCCGTCCGCATGGGCGGCAGTCCCTGGTTGATCATGAGTTGCTTCTCCAGCTCCGCGTCGCTCAGAGCCTGCAGCCTTTCGGCCACCGCCGGGTGGCTGTACACCTCGGGCTGCATCTTGACCGCCAGCTCGTTCTCCTCCACGATGGCCAGCGCGTCCACCCACAGATATACGCGCGCGCCGCCTCGGCCGACGCTGGGCGCGGACACGGACACGGACGTTGCGTGGCTGCTGCTCCGCGCGTCCGCCGCCAGACAGCGCGCCATGGTGGCGAAGTGGTACTCGGTGACGCGCACGACGCTGCCGCGCAGCCGGCCGATCGTCTGGAAGCCGCGCTCCTGCAGCAGCGCGACGGCCACGTGGCTGGGCACGAACGCCTCCACGTCGAACTCGCGGTCCACGAGCGTCACGGTCTGGCGCGAGCTGTTGGTGCGGCGCACGAGCATCACGCGCGACTGGCTGGCGGCGGCGGCGATGGGCGCGGTCTGCGACTCGGTGTCCTCACTCAGACTCTCGGAGAAGCTGTCGGCGGGCGCGCGGGCGTCCGCGCCCTCCCCCGGCGCACGCGCGCCCAGCGCCGCCAGCAGCTCCCGCCGCAGGAACTCGGTCGCAAAGCTCGTTCGCGCCATGCTGCTTGTGACTTGCAAAATGTATCGGCGATATGTCGTACTTAGACGGAAATTCGAATTCAGATTTGTGTACATGTACACAATTGGTAGTGTGAAATACACCAATGGCCGCTCGATCCTCGACACTCGATCCCCGAAGAGCGCTCTGGAAGTCGGCGCATCAATCATGATGGGCTGGAGGTGCGTCGCCGCGCGGGGGCTGCGCGCCGCCTGGGCCGCCCCCGCCGCTGCGGTGCCTCGCGGATCCATGGGGCTGCGCTCCAAGGCCGGCGGCGTGCAGCCTCCGCTCGTCGCGGGGGCCAGGGGCGCCGCGATGCCACTCGCTCCGCCCGGCTCTGCGTCAGGATCGGCTGCAGCGGCGCTCAGGAGCAAGCGCGGCCGCGTGGGGAAGCCTCGCTCGGGCGCCTACGTGCTGCTGGGCAGGTACCAGGTGGACCGGCTGCTGAAGCTCAAGGAGAGCAATGGTGGGGGCGCTGCAATGGTCGCAGATGCATTGTCGACCAGCGCTAGCTGATGACTTACTCTCTCTATCATTCGTTGATGTTCCACAGCTCTGAAGGCGGCCAAGAAGGCGGCGGAGGCGGAGGCCAAGGAGGCAGTCGCCGCGGCAGAAGCAGACGCCAACCATCGACTGCGCAACTCGCTGGTGAGGTTTGTAGGGATGGCTGGGTGCTAGACTCTCTGTGCTGCACTTTGGCAAGGGTCCAGCTGGCAGCTTGTCCTGTTGCGGTGCTGCAATGAATTAACGCGCGGTGATTTCTCGGTGGTTTCGGCGGTGATGCTGGATGCAGGTGCTGCGCTTCAGTAACGAGAACTCGTACCTGAACTGGGCGAGAAACGGCGTGCTGTCCTCGGCCGTCGGGGTGGCAATGTACGCGCAGGAGCACCACCGCGGAGCTCAGTTGAGCGGCGCAGGTGAGTCTGCTGTCTGTGTCTGGCAACGAGTGTTGGAAACCGTGGAGAGAGGCAATACTAACTTTAATCCCTGTGCAGGCCTGCTGCTCCTGGGCTTCGGATACATTGGCGTGGGCACGGCAAAGTATATTTATTACATTTTCCGCTTCCGCCACGTCATGGAGCTGTCCTGGGCAAGCGTCTTCGGAACGATTTCCCATGCGGCGTGGGGGCTGGCAATCTGGCTGACGGCAGTCGCCTCCTTCCTGGTGCGTGGCCTGTGATGCTGAGGCTCATTGCCAACGAAGGGTTAATACTAACTAACCTTCGTGCGTTCTACTTACTTGTGTTGTTACCCCAACAGGAGAGTGTGCCTCTTGAGCTGGATGCGATGCTGCTGACGGAGCCCATCGCGAGTTACCTGCCATTCCGGATTCGACAGGGCCTGATCGAGACGTACAGCCTCCACCTGGACGACCTCGAGCACCACAACGATGAGCAGGAGCGCGTGATGCGTGCAATTCGCGGCGACCGGGAACCGCCCGAGCTGGCCCAGATCGACGAGGGCGAAGAGCTGCCTCCTCAGCTCGAGGCGCAGCTGATTGAGCAGCAACTCCACACCGCTCCGGGCCCGTCGGTGGTGGGGTCTGTGCCTCCAACTTCCTAAATCATCCCCGACAAGTCTTCCCTGTTCTGCATGCTGTCCGCGTAGCTGCGCTGCCATGCTGATTGGCGTGCCCTGGCGCACTGTAGACAGGTGTGGTGTGCTAGAGTGAAACACGGTATCCATCTGACAACGACGCTGTCCTCTACATACTGTTTCATGCTTTTGTTTTCATTTTCCACATTCGTCCCCTGCCACTCCAATTATTGCGAGCTACCAGCAGCGGCGCTGTCTTGCATCTCCTGCTCCTTATTACGGCTTGATCGCCTCCTCCAGCGGGATGTCGAAGTCCGGGTTGCGGCGCAGCGTCTTGCCGTCCCACGTGAGGTTGATGGCCGGGTAGGCGCTCTCGCCCTTGGCGGCCTCAATGATGGGAGCGGCCACGAACACGTCGCTCTCGGGCGACTTGGGCAGCGAGAGGCCGTGGTCCACGAGGCCCTTGAGCACCGCCAGGATCTCCTTGTCGCTCTTGCCGGGCACGGGCACCTTCTTCTCCTTGCCCCAGTCGAACCGCGCGTACACGAACGGTTCCATCTCCTCCGCCTCGCGGTACACGAATGGCGTGTTCGGGTTCAGCATCTTGAGCTCGCCATAGTTCTTGCGGAAGAACGTGCTGCGCAGTAACGAGAGAACCACCGGAACGACGTCAGTCTAACAAACAACCTGCTGCTACGCGAGGGGCCGCCGGGGCCCGCCGAGCGAGGCCGAGGGAGAGAGAAGCGCGAGACGCACCGCAGGCCCGCGCTGCTCTGTGAGGTGTCGCAGGCCACGAAGCGCAGCTCTTGGATGGAGCGAGAGATCTGCGCGCGCCAGCTCATGTCTGTCTGCTGTCCTGGTGTCGCTGTGGGCGTTGTGCGGGCTTGTGGCCGCACAATTCGAGGTACACAATTCGTGATTTGGTCTGCACAATTTCATGTTTGGACGGGTACAATTCGAGATTTGGTCCAATGGCTTCTTTTAACCCTTTCGCGAATGACTTGAAATTGTATACTATAATAGCTTAAGTGTAATCGAACTAAAACGTGCCAAAATGGCGCGTTTTGGTTGTCCCATCCTGTGCCGCAATGCTTGTGTTTGAACCCTGCGCTTCCCGATTTACGGGATGAGCTAATTGGCTGAAATTCAATAATTGTCCGAACGACGCAGTCATTGGCTAATCGGTTTGGCTTTATACGTAATTTATGGAAGATAGATCTGCCCTGTTTGCTTTGGCAGGGCCGCGCTGTTTGCTGTGTAGCTGCTCGCGCAAAGCAGACGTCACTTTATCCACTTCGGCCCCCGTACATCGACAAGTAGTGAAAGCTGCATCTACCATTATGCGGTAGCATCATCGAGTAGCCAAGACCGCGTAGGGCGCCGAGCGCACGACGCTTTGCACCTTCATCAAGGAAGCGAGCGGTACTGACTCAACACCGAGTCCTGTGTACTCAAGTATACTGTACTACTCGGTACGTGAGCTCCTGATAGCCCGGCATTTGAGAATCAATAGCATAGCGGTATTGCGCATGGTGCCCATGTAGGCTTAGCACTTAACGCAAGTTCCAAACCTAGAACTACTTTTAATTTTTTTGCACATTGACTAGGATTGTCCTTCCTGCTCAGCCAGCTAGATCTCGCCTGGCCAAAAACACGTACTAGAAGCCGATCTGCAAGTGCAACACGGTGTCTGGCATCCTGCAGCAAAAGCAAAACAAGCTCAGACTGGAATTGTATAGTGAAACCCATATCAATGCACATACTTATATTTTGCTCGCTCCTATTCCTCACGTTGTCATGTACTGGTATACATATAGCTGTTGTTGGAAGGATTGTTATCAAGACGCTTTTACCACCACTTGGGCTGTATTAGATGTTACTAGAGATATATTGTGTTGTTGGTGGTACATCAGTCTTGAAACGTACAATCTAGGTGTACAGAAGCTCGTTAGTGGCATGGTTGAAGGCCTAAGGCGCGATTTTTTTGCGACGATAGATATTGCGCTGGCGAACACGTACATTTACGAAAGCTCTACCAAGTTTACGTCTTTTGGCACTCACTTCAACGTCTGGTATGTTCAGTGATTGTATCGGGCTACAGCGATCAACAGAGTAACGTCGTATTTCAATACACTAGTTCTTGGTCATACAGCCAGAGTACAAATAGAGTCACTGCATTATTGCCTGGAACTATTCACGCAAACACGCGCCATAGCAGTGTCGGAGACCGGCACCACGGTAGGTTTTCAACCCAGGTGCAGCCGTCCCCATCACTGTTACTACTCAACTACTCAGGTCTTATAGCACTCAAGTGAATGAGTGTCTCGAGAGAGATTTAACTTTGATCTGGCACTAAACACAGAGACGTCTGAAGAACTACTTACTGGTTCATACTCTTCATATCTAGTTATAATAACTACAAAGCCGTCTCTACCGGAAAATACGGAGCACTTGAGCGCTTATGCAAATGTAAGTAGAACTAACAGGAGTATAGATTGATGGCGGCAATCCGCCAGGTTGGTGCAGAATGAGCGCCTGTCATTGGGCAAGTTCCACACTACAGCGTTACGCTGGGCGCCGTGTTGTCCTTGTTACTTGCTCAGGAAATGTAAGATATTCTGCATTGACAACTGCATCTACCTTAGTCCCTCTTCTATACGGGGTTTGTTGCTCGCATGGCTATAGGACCCGCCCGAGGATGCATCGTAGTCTACTTTGCTTGACAAGTGAGTACGGCATTTCCGCCAATGTCTAGATTAGTAATTTACGAAACTCGCAGCCTTCAAGTTGGCAGGATTGGCTATAATTGAACAGAGTAGTCCGACAATGGTCGAAGGGTGGTAGCAAACTCAAAACGGGCCATTTTGGCACGTTTGAACGCCATTTTGGACCGGTTTGGCGCAAAAGGGTTAATCTGTACGTGTTACAGATACTTAAATTAACAGATTCTGTATAGTAACGAATACTTCTCCTGGGCCACCTAAGGGGCTGGTTGAGTTCTTGGTGTTTGGTGTCTGGTGTGTGCATTTGACTCTCTCCTATCCGTGTCCCTGGTTTCGGGAAAGCAGCTCATTCTGGCTATGTGAGTATTTCGGGTGATGTTTTCGGACGTGATGGCAGCACCTCTGGGCTCCCCCAAATAGGACAAAAAGGTATAAACAGCCACATCACATGTGCAGAAGCCCCTGCACTAGCCGCCCCGCTACTGTTCTCCGTATCTACCGGGCCCCATGCGCTCACTCGATCTCGTTCATAGCGGCCGCGCCATTTCTGGCTTTTCAGAAATCCAAAAATTTTGTGTGAGATGCCTGTCCTTTCTGTTGGTGTTGGCCCCAACACGACTCCGGGAGTCGTGTCGCGGTCAACACCATTGAAAATAATTTCAACCAATCAGATCAAACCGTGTTGCATGTTTATGTTATGCCTTCCCAACACACCAAGAACTCAACCAGCCCCTAAGAAACAACATTGAGGTTTTTAGTATAGCGAGGTTTTTTCAGGGCTCATATTCATTTGTCAAAAATACGTTAGGGTTAGGTTACTTAGCGCGCGCTAAAACGTCGGGGGGGGGGGGGGGGCACCACACAAACCAAGTTCCCGCCAAGCCCCGAGCACTCAACATCACAATGGGACGTCACCCCAAGCAGCCCAACCTGTCCTCTCAGAAGAAACTCGCCATCCTTCTCCACCTCTCGAACCTAGCCGTGGGTGGCCGGCTCCCCTTAGGCGCCAAGGCCGCCACCAGCCGTTACTTGTTGTGTCACCGGGACACGGTCGCGCGCATATGGGACTTGCGCCACACGCCAGACGTGCTGCTGCAGCCAAATCGCCGCCGATCAAGCGGCATCCACCACCCCGACATCGCCACCAAGGTGGCAGCAGTGCCGTTGCCTCTTCGGCAGAACCAGCGGTCCCTTGCTGCCGCCGTGAAGGTCTCCCGCACCACCCTCCGGCGCTACCTTAAAATGGGGTTATTGCGCCGGAGGGTTTCAACTGTCAAGCCTCGTCTCACGCCTGAGCACAAGAAACGACGTCTGGCATTCGCACTACGCCACGTTCGGCAACCCCCAGGTATGAGCATTTTTTTATTTTGTACAAGCGGTTGGATATATAATAACCTTGTTGCTGTATTATTCTCTTATTTTGTACAGGTCTTAGACGGCCAATTTTCGTCGATATGTACGATGTCGTACATATCGACGAAAAGTCGTTCAATAGGTATAAAGGATCAACCCACTACTACATGGCACCTTGCGAAGATCTACCCCACAACACATCGGTCAACAAACGGTATATAGGTAAAGTAATGTTCTTGGCGGCAGTCGCTAGGCCCCGCTATGATTTTTTCCGCCGTAAGTTTTTCGATGGAAAAATAGGCATTTGGCCTGTGGTTGAGCGTGTACAAGCAAAACGGACTTCGGTTAACCGTTTAGCTGGTACCTGGGAGGCTAAAAATGTTTCAATGACTTCGGACGAGTACGAAAATATTTTGGTGACAAAATTATTTCCAGCAATTCGCCCGAAGTGGCCAGGTTTGTCATTATTTTTGTATTTGAGTGTTTATTGTTAAAGCTAACGACATGTAGATTAATTCTATTTCATGCAGGAGGCAGAAGTCGGCCAATTCGTGTGCAGCACGACAATGCGAATCCTCACGCAGCGGCTTCGAGGGCAGCAGTTCAACTAGCCGGGCAAGAACGTCCATGGGATATTCGCATGGAGTATCAGCCGCCCAAGTCGCCGGACCTCAATGTTTTAGACGTCTCAGTCTTCTCCTCGATCCAGTCGGTGCAATACCAACAGCCTACCTACAAGATGGACGCCCTCATTGGGGTAGTACTAGCTGCGTTCGGGCAGTTGCCGAGTCGAACGCTGGACAAAAGCTTCGTAACGCTCCAAAAGGTGATGGAGTTTATCATCAAGGCTGCGGGTGACAACAATTTCCAGCTACCTCGCGTGAGCAAGCTGTACATCAAGAGAGGAATCATACCAAGCTCAATTGCATGTGATTCCACTGTCTACGAAGCCGGCAAAGTAACATTAAAACAGTTGCAATAAAATCTAAAATAATTCGCCCATCAACTGTTTAATTCTTGGTTTAATTCGGAGCCCACCTTGATTGGTTGAAATAGGAGCGCGTTAAATGTTTTTCGTGACATATCTACTTATCAGGGTAAAAAACCTCACTTCTTTAGGCGCCTGTACGATGCTATCCCTACCTCGCCAGCGTTCAGATAAGCGTTGAATACAATCGCCCAGTCGTGTAGATTGACCACGTATGCGCTTTGTCTATTATCGCCAAATATTGACGAGGATGCGCAAAAAACCTTATTCACTGCGTATGAGCGTGTTCAAAATTAGTGTTATTTCGCTCAAATCGCTTGTTATTGAGCTTTAAAAAATACAGTGGGGTGCAGCGTGAGCCCGGCTTTATTTTAAGGCCCTGCTTGCGTATAAGATGCAAGAACAGACTGAGATACGACGTCGGGAACGAGTTGTTGTTTCTTAGGTGGCCCAGAAAAGTATAAGACAAAACCCGTATGATGTCAATTGCTTAAACCTGGTAGGTTTTATTGTGCCTTTCACTTATTCTGCCGTGATAATTCTGGCATAACTCAAATCCGTTATCGACCTTAATTATGCCCCGAGTTAGCTAATTCCCATGTTAATTCCGGGTCGTCCCTCCGTGGCCGAATTAGGAGCGGCGATGGTGAGGCCGACTCAAGGCGGAATAAGCTAATCCAGCCTTCGTTAGGCGGAAACAGAGCGATTGGCGGTTTCCTATCCGCCAATCCATGCCATTCTGCTCGTATCTCCGTCGATTAGCTCTCAAATGCTGATCGCGGAGATTAGGGGAGGCGCTCACAATCTTAGGCATAATTAGCACTAAATAAGCGTTGATCACCCTTTTATGACTCTAATTCCGCCTGAATTGACAGCTCACCCGCCAAAATACGTGAAAGACACAATAGGTTTTGAGAAGGTAAAGCTATACTATAAGTACGGATTTTAGCATGGGACATAGAATAAGTGATGTATTGGATGCCTGCCAAAAGTATATCAAACCGTCGACATATCTGCGGAGTACTGGTTTGCGGGCTTTGGCCCGCGGTGTTCGCAGTTCGGTCTTTTTTTACTGTATTCCAAAACCTGCACAGTAGAAAACTTTATTTACTACTACTAGTACTATGTAGTAGCACTATGCTTGCCGCAGAAGAGCGTTGCATGAAGACGTTCTTGAATTTTAGCGCTTGCTCTAATTTTTGTACTGTGAAATATCATGCGTCCATTTGCTGGATGGCTTACGCTGCTCGATCTGCCGTGGCGGATCTACGTGAACTCACACTATTGGGCTGCTACCGCGGGAGTCCCCGTATGCGGCGCTGCAGCAGTGCGCGGCGACGGGCGTAGTCAGCCGTCATAACCGCAAATTTCATTTCATTGCATGAACTCACACTAGCGTTACTTCTATTCATGGTACATACTGCACAGCTTCAAGCTGCCAGAATGAGCTTCGGTTCATGTTGAATGTATAATGTGTTTTTTTTCTGGGGTTATTCGGGCTATATGTCCAATTTTGACGCCTGCAACTTGATTTTGTAGAATTGCTATACTGATTTCAATGCCGTTTAGGTCTCCTCACTTCAAAGTCGACTCTCAACAAACAGCCTGCACCCACGACCATTAATCAATAGCGATAATTTTGTTTTACTCAACGACGGTTTATAGTTGCTACTGCTGTGGCGTCCGACATGCACATACGGATATCGTATCTTAGAAGTGACAGCCACATGCCTAAACTAACTTAGCCGATACGACGGCGACCTACCTATTGCTCGCTTGCTGCCCCGATTCGGTCGATTCCTCACAAATTGCATTGATTGCCTGATCACCCCTCTTTATTATTGCTGCTGCCTGGTTAGCTTGTCGCCGAAAGCATGCTTTGAGCTGTAATGAACGCTGCTATGCTGTAATACAATTGCTGTACAACTGTCATTGCTGTTGTTTCAAATAGCTCTTTAACCGATAATGTAACATAAAGCCTTATGCTGCATTATCTCAAACATCCGCAGAGGCGCAAACGACAGTTCTTACGAACTGCGGATATGCCGGTCATAGATCCCGCGAGGCCCAGATTACATGTCGATAGGCTGCCCTACCCCTATGAATATGTCGTGTAGCCATCTTAAAGATTTAACTTGTTATTTGTATACTTTAAGTCGACCATCACTCTACCGTCATTCGGGCGACATACTGCCTCGTTTATATCTTCCTGCCGCCAACTTGAAGTTGCGCTCACTTTTGAAATAGCCTCCGAAGGCGCGAAGACAGCAAACGATCTCCGGTACGTGAGCTGCAATTGCAGTAAGTGCTACTGGCTGTTGGCTAACACCGTGTGTTACAGCAGGAACGATGGTGCATCTGACGCACTCCGCGATCCACTGGAAGCTCCGATGCATCGTGGACTCCTCCTCCTCCAGCGACGAGAACACGCCGCCGAACGTCAGCAGCGCCCGTACCATGGGTGCTGACGGCGGCTCCAGCGCGACGGGTACGGCGACGCCGCCCTGGCTCACTCCAGAGCGGACCAAGCACCGATCCAAGCGCGTGACGAACCCGCCGGTAACGCCAGAGACGCCGACAGCCCCGCTGCCAACTTCGGGGGCGCGCACAAGCCCGACGACGTCCTCGCTCGTGCTCCTGGAAACGCCTCCAAGATCGCTGCCGCGCGCCACGACAAGCACAGCGCTTCACCCTCGCCAAGGGCGTCAAGCACGCCAAGCCGCTGTCGCCCCGTACTCACGCCAGCGCTCGGGGCCCCGCCATGTGCCGCGCAGCCAGCGCACGGTCCCCAGCCATCAGCCACGCAGCCAGCGCTCGGAGACCGAGCGCACGGACTACATTCGACGAGCGACACGGGCAGTGCCGGCGGCTGCGCCCCGTGCTCAACTGCAGGCGTCACGGCCGGGGGACGTATTCGCGCCGGCACGGTGGCCGTACGCCATTGCTCACTTGCGAGAGCAATACAACCCGTTGGCCACCGTCTTCCCAGCGGTCCAGCCATTCGACTTTTGCGGTTGCTGGAATCCCTGCCGGACCGACAGCTGCCGCAACGCCCTCGTCAACGTGTACTGCAATGCCCGTTGCTGCCCGTACGGGGGCAAGTGCGGCAACGGCTTGGAGGAGTCAAGCAAGATCTTCCTCGGCCGCAACTTGCGCACCCAGCAGCTCGGGGTTGTCGACGCCGAGGACATCAGCGCCGGGGAGGTGCTCGGCCAGTACCTAGGCGAGATCGAGCACGTCAGCGTGTCTCGAGCCAACCGCCGACGCAACAACGACTACCGTCTCCTGATGAAGCAGCGGACCGAGAAGCCGACGTACCCGATCTGCGCTGCGATTAATGCTGAAGGGATTGATGCGCTTCCTGAATCACTCGTGCGAGCCTGCAGCGGAGTTCAGGGAGGTGTCGAACGGGCATCGAACGACGGTGGTCGCGGCGACGACGCGGCGCATCTACCGTGGCGAGGAGGTAACCATCGACTACGGCGACGACCTCTGGTTCGTGTGCCGTTGCGAGCGAGACGGCTGTCGCCACCGCAACATCCAAGACGAAGAAGACCCGTGAGATGACAGCAGCGTAGCAAGGTTGCTAAGGAGCGAGGAGCATCGCGTGAAGCAACATGCATGTATGAGTGAATGGACGACTGAATGCAGGAACGTGTTTGAAAATCGAGTGTATTGTGGGGACGAAGTGCTGCTAGACTACGGGGATGCTCCGACCACTGTGAGTGTGATTTGGCGCCAAGACGGCTTCGTTCGAAAGATCTCGAGCAGGCTTCCTGCTGCTGCATTTGGCATTTTGGGCGCGAAGCTTTCGCGCGCTCCAGGTTGAAGCTACCAAGAGCAGCATCCTTTTCAAATTGGTGGCGGTGGTGGCATGGTGCTGGTCGAGTTGCCGCCGCTTCTCGGCGCACTCGTTTCTCTCACTTTCGCTTTTGCCAAGCAACGAGCACCCTCCACCACGACGCATACTCGCCCCGCCCCAAGCTTCAATTCCGCGCGCGTCACGCCCTGGTACGCTGCCCCACGCGCGATTTGTTGATGCCAAGCTTGCTGGCCGAGTTGTTCAACTTGTTGTGCATGTAGATGGTCCGACAAACCGGAAACCCCAACTAAACCACGGCGGACGTCGACCGCCTCTTGCTGCTGATCGAGAACGAGCTTCCGCTCGGACGAGACGAGTGGGAGCGTCTAGCGGCGTCGTACAACGCCAACAGACCTCGCGGTGCCCCTGAACGAGACTTTGAAAGCCTCCGCCGGAAATTCAAAGTCTCTACAGCGACTGGCACGCCCAACATGCCGCCGCACGTCAAGAAGGCCAAGGAGGTGAAGCTGACGATCGACGAGAAGGCCAACGTCATCGAGATGGATGACGAGGCCGACGAAGATCGCCCCATCGAGCCCGACTTCTGCTTCGAAGCGGACCCCGACGAGAGCTTCTACGGCGACGACGACGCCGATGGAAACGCGTGCAAACCGCCGGCCGGCCCAGCACTGAAGGGTCGACGTGCACCGACGAGTCCGTCGGGCTCGACTCCGCCGAGTCCGAATCGCCTAGTCTGGGCGAGTTTCAAGAGCTGCTTGCGGCGCCACTCACGAGTGGTGGGTCCGGTGACGGTGCACGTACACCGCGACCGGCGCCTCCTCCAGCAACGTCTACCACGCGCCGTGCGGCAAGCAGACTGCCGAAGCCACGTCGAACGGCTGTCAGCTCAGCTGCTGCCAATGTGAGCCCACCGGCGGCTCCGCAGCAGACACCGCTCGCTGCTGCTCGCAGTCAAGAAGCGGAGAAGTACCCGAAGCTCGTGAACTTTTCGAACCGCTTGGGCGGGCAGGACCTGACAGCGTTCAGTGACACCGTCGGTGCCAAGCGTGCGCTCGAAGAAGACAAGGAGACCATGGAGGCAAGCTTTGCGAAAGCGAAGCGGATTCGCGCCTTGAGGACGTCCACTGCCCTCAAGACCAAGCTTGCCAGCCTCGAAGCCGCTGCGAACAACACGGGCGGAAGCCTGCTCGAGACGATTCTCCTTCTCCGTGAGGAGAACGAACGCAAGGCCGAAGAACGCCGCGCTGAAGAGGACAAGCGTCGCCGCGCCGTAGTCGCTGCTCAAGAGGCTCGCTACCTTGCTGACAAGACCGAAGCCCAGGAGCGCCGTCGTCAAGAAAAACTGGAAAGAGAGGACCGAGCTCGTCGCGACCGTGAGAATGCGCGCGCTCGCACGCAGGAGCTGATCATGCTGATCAATGCCATTAAGAAGAGCGCGTAAACAAAGATGGAGACGAAGGAAGGAGTTGTTGGTTCTGCACCTCGCAGCATGGCGCATTCATATTGTAGTAGCGTTGCATTTATCTCAAAGCCGTTGAATCAACAACGTTTCATGTACAACATCTTCATCTTCATTCAAGTCGTGCTCACTGCTAAACTACATCGATCTCTAACTTGCGAAAAGCACCATCTTCCACGATATCAGCAGCAAGTCCTACAACAACTTCACATCATCCGTTCAGCATTAGTGTACTTGCAAGGACTTCGAGAAAACAGTTCAACGCCACGCAAAATATATTGTTGCCACGCTACTTGCTATGAATCGCTCACTACTTAGCCAACCTGAGTCGGCACCTCCATCTCGCCAGCAAACGTGGTCTGGATCTGCGAGATCCCCACCGTTCGGACCCTGTATTTGGCCATGCGAAACAAGTTGTCCAGACGAAGTCCTCGGAGCTTGGGGTCGTACGGCAGTGGCAGGTTGAGTCTCGAGTAGACCTTCTGCACGCTTCCCATGCCCCACTCGGCCGCCTGGCGGACCGAGGTGATGGCATTGTGAAGGATGCGCGCCGATGCCCTCAGCGAGGGCAGGATCCGCTCGAGGTCTCCGTCCTTGAGGGGTGTGAGAATGCGCCCCGCCATAGCTGTCGAACAGGGGAAAGCGGAGTCGGAGACGACGTTCATCCTCGAGTCCGGGCAAAAGGCTGGATTGAGTAGCTTCAACCTAAAGCCGAGCGACGTGTCCGAGTCATTCCATGGCCCCGGACAGTTGTGTCGGCTCCAGATATGCAGCCGTCGGCCGCAAAGCAGATAGTTCCTGTAACGAAAACAGAATGTAGCCATCCATTGTACATAGCATTTTGAAGATCTGCGTCGGAAGGTTGCTGCACCTGCAGCATATAGCCAACAATATGGGTTAGGACGGATAGGATCGAATGAATACAACTGCATACGTACTTTGAAGTTCTTGCCATCGATGAAACCAAAAGTGTACTTGAGCAGGGGCTCCCGTGCCTCGACGAGCTTTGCCAGCTCGGCTTGGCGCGTTGGTGATGGCCACGAAATGCGCGCCGGAGCGTACCCATGGAGCGCCTTGGACAGCGCCTCCTCTGCACGACACAGGATGCGCGAGAGCGTGCTCGGGGGCACGCCAAAGAGCATGGACAGCGAGCTCTGCTCCATCGAGCCGACGTAGAACGAGAGCACCAGTCCCAGGACTTGATGGTGGTACCGTAGCTTGGGCGGGCGGCCGCGCAACATGGCCTTGGGGATGAAGTAGAAGCGCGAAAACCTTCGCAGCAACTGCTCGAAAGCAGGTCTGCAGCACACAGTCACACGATAGCTACATACAGCTTTGTATCATTTAACTCAATCAATACATGTACCTGGTGAGACTCGTCGCGTTTATAAAGTTGACATCGCTCCCAAATCGGTAGAGGAGCATCCAGGCCGAGTTGCATGGTGCCTCGAGGCACTGTGCCGTCAGGTAGTGGCGACTTCGCATGGCTGCCCGCCACGCCTCTTCCAGCAGCAAGCGGTACACCTCGCGCCGCGCCTCGGCCAGCTCCCGCCCCTGCTTGAGGAAGGCGTCCGTCACGACGAGGAGGGCGTCCGTGTCCACGCTCGCCATCGTCACTGAGATTGCTTGCGCTCGACGCGCGCGAATCCGAAAGTGACGGAATCTAGAAGAAGTGCGGCAGCAGTGCTGCCGCTTCAGTGTCCGGGGCAAATTGACAGGTTCACATCGAAGTGACTGCATTATCTATAGTGTAGCCACCTGATTCAGGGCAGTAGGAACCGGACGTAGACAGAAGCAATAAGACGCTTTTGGTGAAGCTTTCACGCGATATGCCGACATATATCTTTTTTAAGTCGGGCATATCTGCTGCAGATATGTCGACCGTTTACTATACTTTTGGCAGGCATCCTTTGTGGATTTCACGCATTTTGGCGTGGACGAGCCATTTCGTGACGGTTTATACCAGAGCCCAACACGAATAATCAGGGAGCGAATAACAGTTTGAACACGTTTCGCGAGTTGGAAGACGAGTAGAGATATAGCAAGCGATTTGTCGAGCTCTTTTAACGAATGGCGGCTGCAGCTCCTGCCATTCGTTACAGTATTTCAAGCCACTAAATCATCTCTGGGCTGGCGTGCAATCACGAAATCGAGCGACCTTCGTTGGCCTGTTACCCTTGTTTATGCCTATGACGTAGAAATTGTCGACGCGGACAGTGTTCTAGGCGTGTCGGCGTGCTCGGTGTAGAGATAGCATGGTTGGTTTCAAAGTAAAGAAAGCGCTGAAGGAGTTGGAGAAAGTAGCGAACAGCTAGATGGCCGTGTATCAATTTTGTTGGGCAATATGCTGAGTCCCACCCGTGTTTGTACATCTACGAGCTGCGTAGTGCGCTTAAAGGTCGATTTCCTACACTACGAAACGCTTCCGTGGCGTTTTTACCCTATTGATATGCTGGAATATGGGAGTCCGTTTGCTTTGGCGCCTAAGTCAAGCGCCATAGCCGCCCACGCCCACACCGGGGCCGTAGACACCAGGACCGTAGACGCCGGGAGCATAGACTCCAGGCTCGTCCTCCGATAAGCGCTTGTACTCGTGTTGGCGCGCATTTACCGTCGATTTGACGTAGATAGCGTCGTCGGCAGGCGATATCACAGCGGTGTCAAACGCTTCAGCCTCTACTTCAGGACTGTGTAGCCCTCACGCACCGATAGAAGCTTTATGTACAATCCTGCAGTCTGTCAGTGGCTCGCCGACCATGATCGTCACGACAGCGTCTCAGAGCGCAGGTAGCGTGGGTAGTTCGGCCATCATTTCGTCCGTTGGCAGGTAGGTGTCTGTGGTGGACGGTACGGCGAAATGCATAGTTTTTGCACAACGACTTCTTTATTTACTTAAGTAGTCAAGACGATTTATGGGACGAATAGATGGCGCAAAATTCGTGAAGGCGATAATAGCTCATGTGAAGCTCATGCGATGGTCCAGGACTATGTAGCACTCCTGAAAGGGTAAGCATTTCATTTTCTACAAACTGCAAACAGATCTCAAGCACGGTAGTTAGGAAAATACAATAGCAAACAGTTTATGCCAAAATCCTCCTATCAAAGCCTTCGCGGTGCCCTAGTGAAGATGAAGTAAAATCTAACCATAACCATTCATGAGCTGATAATTTGTTCTCGAATCTCAGCTCAACATCTATTTTTGAAACTCAACTACATTATCTGCTTGAATACATATATCCCATGCTAGCGCATCGCATGCTTCTATACGCCTTGAGTACTGGCGGCATCCGACGCCACCAGTTTGAACGATTTAGAAAAGTTAACAGCCACCATCTCACCAGTGGCACATCACACTAAATCGTCCTTAAATGACTTAGATCGGGCCCACGCCGAAGTTCTGGCTGGTCGAGCCGAACTTCTTCGCAGACGTGGGCTTGTAGTAGCTGGCCACCTTCTTCGAGTTGGACAGCGCCGCCGACTCGCGGTTGCCCGTCAGCGACCCGCACTTGGACAGCGCGTTCTCGACGCAGCTGCGGCCCAGCGCGGACTTGCAGGACGACTGCGAGTTCGAAGACGGCACGATGATGGCGCCCACGGTCTCGGCGTCGTGCTTGTTCGGGATGGCCGTGTTCTCGAAGTAGTTACCCTCCAGCAGCACGTTGCCGTTGTCGACGACGTCGTACGAGAAGCCCGTGTTGTTGGACCAGTAGTTGTTCACGGCGTGGACGATGGAGTTGCCGCCGACCTTGGGCGAGCGGCCCGACGTGTTGTGCACGTAGTTGTTGACGAGCGTCACCTGCGTCTGCGTGCCCAGGAAGAGGAAGGTCCAGTAGTGGTTGCCGTCGCACGTGGCCGAGTACTGCGTGCGGCCGTCGAACTCGGAGTTGCTGATGGTCATGCTCTTGACACTGGCCGTGCCCGTGGCGACCATCTGACGGCCGAGGTTGGAGATCTTGACGTGGTCGAGCCAGATGCGCTCCATGGGCGTCTTGCCGCCGTTGAGGCCCTGGATGTAGATGGCGTCGCCGCCCCAGATCAGGTGCGGGTTGAGCTGCGTGATGTGGATGTTCTGGATGATGATGTTGTTGCCGTTGAGCCACAGACCCTTGCCCTTGATGACACCGCTCGTGCCGAGGCCGCGCAGCGTCTTGTTGCTCGAGACCACGAGCGGGTTCTTGCTGGCCGCCAGGTCGTACGTGATCTTGACCTGCGTGCCTTCCACGCAGCCGCCCGTGTTGGCCATGCCACCGCTCTGCAGGATGACGTCCTGACCCTTGTAGCCGTTGTTCTTGGCGAGGCAGTCGCGGTTGCTCTTGGGGCGGCAGCCCGTCTCGGTGCGCGTGCCCTCCGAGCCGCGGAAGTCGAAGGTCTTGGTGAGGACGATGACGCGCGGCTGCGAGTCCTTGAGGTAGTTCCTCAGGTCGTCAAGCGACGCCGGGTACACGGGGGCGACATTGCCGCCGCCCGTGGTGCCGGCAGCGAGGCCCGGCGCGGAGCCCGTGGAGATGGAGGAGCCCTTGCTCGTCGAGCTCTGCTTGGGCGACTGCTGCTCGACCGAGTATTGGCTCGAACCGGCCTGCGTACCTTGGACAGCGAAGGCGGCGACGGCGACGATGACGAGGCGGAGGATCTGCATGGCGGGTGCTGGGCGCTGCTGGTGTGTGCGTGCGTGTGCGTATGCAGTGCGAGGCAAAACCGACAATGAGCTGCAGTAGCGAGTGGCACCGGCAAGCGCGCCTGCCTCACGTGAGTCAAGGGTGGTCGGCTGTTGCGCGCCGATGGTGTGAGACTGCATGTCAGCGACTACATGAACATGTGCAGGACCACAGATTGACGACCCGGTGGGAGGAGGACCAGGCCAAGTGGTTGCGGGGAAGTGTTACTCTTACGTGATCCTGCCTGCTGGGATCGCGGCAGGCCCACTGCGGTGCGATGTGTCAGCAAATGCTCGAGCTCGCTCGGCTGGGAGAAGCCACTGTCCACCTTCATCGTTTGGCACTCGGACAGTAAAACTACAGCAGTGCGAACGCTTCCTGGTTGTTGATGTGACACATGCGCTAGGCGTCCCTAGAAAGCTTGACGCTAAAGTCCTCGGCTCACGTGTGCACTTACGGTACCGTGACTGCTACGTCACTGGAGCCAGAGTTCGTTGTTCGCCTGGTGAACGTAGCACATCCGATGTGGTGCATCGCTCCACCAATGTGTAAAATTCCTACGTGCGTCGATAGGGCCACAAGAACGACCCTGCGTATCGTGTTGCCCTTGGGCGTAACTATTGTAGCAAGTTCTTATGTACTTAAGTAGCGAGATGCAGACAACGTGGAATAGTCCCCTCCCAGTGTTAGATTTCTAAGCTCACAGCAAAACCATTTCGAGGACACGAATACACGATTTAACGCGAAAGTCTTGCGGCGAAACGAAATAAATCCACGAAAAACGCAAAATGCGTTAGTCGTACCATTCCGTCGGATTTGACAGCATATTAATTCGGTTGTCAGCAGTGCTAATATGTGCATGTATGTCCTACTGAGCATTGCAGTGGTGTGTATTTCCTACGGGTTCGTTTTGACGGCGACTGCTCCACAGTTTTACTGCCCAACCACTTGCTGGCAGCAAGTTGCTGCACGTGCCGGGAAGCTATTCTGCGTTAGGTAGGTAAGTAAGTTAGCGTGATAAAGCGCTGACAAGCAGCCTCACATCTGTTAATTCACATCTTGTCGAACGTGCTGTAGACGTGGACAATCGACCTTATGGTCGCAGCGAAATCTCGCGAATGACGGTTCTTTGTTAAAGGGACCCCGCCCGCTTCAACAAACCGCGTCACCTTAGACGCTGACCCCGTACAAAGAGCTACATGTACCGGTATCCTGCTTGACGTCCGGGGTAACAATTTGTTACTAACAAATGAACGAAGAATCCACCACACTGCTGTCCACAGGATCGCATTTCACAGTTACATCTGTGTCCTGTGGTGCGCACTGATGCGTCCTCAGGGGCACGCTTCATTGATGAGAGTGGATCCAGGTAGCCTGGCAGGCTGCTGCGTCGTCAGGAAACGTTTCCAAAGAATGGACACATGGACGAACTAAACAACAACGAGCGATAAAATGTAGATTTCGTCGGGGGGAGGGCAACCCAGCAACAAGCCGTGCAACGCAGGCGCGGTGTTTGACTCGCATCGACCCACACAAGTCGCTAGGCGCCAAAATCCATATCTTTACCCTTGAACGGATAGTTCTATTTTGTAACAAAAAACTTTCTGCGCAAACTTACAAACGCCAAATTATGCCCTCGCAGGTATTTCATAGCTTAATTTTGGCAATCTATTGGTTCGCCAACGAAATAACTACCGCTCATCGATACCGGTGCGTCCACAAGTGTTGTTATCTCCGACTCTTGGAGTTGGCCTGGCATGCCACGGCAAGTCGGTAGCCGTTGTATTTCTTGTACTCGTATTTGCTCTGCCATTCTTTTAAGAATACGTTAACAAGAGGTTCGAGTCCTCCATGTCCCCATTGCCCCCCTTCCCCACACCACCACCACCATACTGTTGTCGGCATCGTTTCAAAACCATCAATGAAAGCGTGCTCTCTTATCCAAACTGCACCATCAGTGATCTGTCTTCAGTTGCGTACTGATGCCATCATGACGCAACTGAAGACAGATGTAACTGTGAAAACAGATCGCCCGTGGTGGATATTCGTTCATTTGGTTTCTCGGACGGCGGGAATAGTTCTCTGTACCAGGGCCAACAATTAGCTGCCACAGTTTGTTGATGGGGACAAAACTCTTCATTGAAGAGGTTCGTACGCTATCGGTTCGCTGCAACCATAAGGCTGGCTGCTTCGACTTGACGATGTGAGCTAACCGAGTTGGCGCTGCCAGGATTGACTTGCCTACCGGGGTGAGGAAGCTTCGACAGGTTAGGCGAACGGTCGAGCAGCTAAACGGTGGAGCACCCCGACGTTTCCTTCTAGAGTCAATGCGAACTCACTGGTATTACTGTACAGAAACACACACCAGCTCTGTGCGATACTAATTACAGTAAATCCGACGGAATCGTGCGAGGCAATATAGTCTACATGAAGGCAACATAGTCTGCGTTACGCAGGGTCGATATTGTGGGCCTTTCGACACGCGTATTCTGATACAAGTGCATTTATGGTAGGACGTACCAGTGGATATGCTACGTTGGCCATACGAACAGCAAACTAGAGACTGGTGTGACTCAACGCAGCAGTCACTACAGGTGCACGCTTGAGCCGAGAACTTTAGCGTCAAGCTTTCTAGGGACGCCTAGCGCATGTGTCACATCAACAACCAGGAAGCGTTCGCACTGCTGTAGTTTTACTGTCCGAGTGCCAAACGATGAAGGTGGACAGTGGCTTCTCCCAGCCGAGCGAGCTCGAGCATTTGCTGACACATCGCACCGCAGTGGGCCTGCCGCGATCCCAGCAGGCAGGATCACGTAAGAGTAACACTTCCCCGCAACCACTTGGCCTGGTCCTCCTCCCACCGGGTCGTCAATCTGTGGTCCTGCACATGTTCATGTAGTCGCTGACATGCAGTCTCACACCATCGGCGCGCAACAGCCGACCACCCTTGACTCACGTGAGGCAGGCGCGCTTGCCGGTGCCACTCGCTACTGCAGCTCATTGTCGGTTTTGCCTCGCACTGCATACGCACACGCACGCACACACCAGCAGCGCCCAGCACCCGCCATGCAGATCCTCCGCCTCGTCATCGTCGCCGTCGCCGCCTTCGCTGTCCAAGGTACGCAGGCCGGTTCGAGCCAATACTCGGTCGAGCAGCAGTCGCCCAAGCAGAGCTCGACGAGCAAGGGCTCCTCCATCTCCACGGGCTCCGCGCCGGGCCTCGCTGCCGGCACCACGGGCGGCGGCAATGTCGCCCCCGTGTACCCGGCGTCGCTTGACGACCTGAGGAACTACCTCAAGGACTCGCAGCCGCGCGTCATCGTCCTCACCAAGACCTTCGACTTCCGCGGCTCGGAGGGCACGCGCACCGAGACGGGCTGCCGCCCCAAGAGCAACCGCGACTGCCTCGCCAAGAACAACGGCTACAAGGGTCAGGACGTCATCCTGCAGAGCGGTGGCATGGCCAACACGGGCGGCTGCGTGGAAGGCACGCAGGTCAAGATCACGTACGACCTGGCGGCCAGCAAGAACCCGCTCGTGGTCTCGAGCAACAAGACGCTGCGCGGCCTCGGCACGAGCGGTGTCATCAAGGGCAAGGGTCTGTGGCTCAACGGCAACAACATCATCATCCAGAACATCCACATCACGCAGCTCAACCCGCACCTGATCTGGGGCGGCGACGCCATCTACATCCAGGGCCTCAACGGCGGCAAGACGCCCATGGAGCGCATCTGGCTCGACCACGTCAAGATCTCCAACCTCGGCCGTCAGATGGTCGCCACGGGCACGGCCAGTGTCAAGAGCATGACCATCAGCAACTCCGAGTTCGACGGCCGCACGCAGTACTCGGCCACGTGCGACGGCAACCACTACTGGACCTTCCTCTTCCTGGGCACGCAGACGCAGGTGACGCTCGTCAACAACTACGTGCACAACACGTCGGGCCGCTCGCCCAAGGTCGGCGGCAACTCCATCGTCCACGCCGTGAACAACTACTGGTCCAACAACACGGGCTTCTCGTACGACGTCGTCGACAACGGCAACGTGCTGCTGGAGGGTAACTACTTCGAGAACACGGCCATCCCGAACAAGCACGACGCCGAGACCGTGGGCGCCATCATCGTGCCGTCTTCGAACTCGCAGTCGTCCTGCAAGTCCGCGCTGGGCCGCAGCTGCGTCGAGAACGCGCTGTCCAAGTGCGGGTCGCTGACGGGCAACCGCGAGTCGGCGGCGCTGTCCAACTCGAAGAAGGTGGCCAGCTACTACAAGCCCACGTCTGCGAAGAAGTTCGGCTCGACCAGCCAGAACTTCGGCGTGGGCCCGATCTAAGTCGTTTAAGACGACGAGTTACTGTGGCGCTACTCGTGAGAAAGTAGCCGACTGTCTTTGCTAAGCTGCTGTGAGGTAGCAGTTTTGAAAGCGTATATAGAGAAGATGCCGGTGGCAAAACGTAGATGCACCCGAACTGTGTTTAAAAATGTAGATGTTGGCTTAGAAAAGAGGTTTGCGGGGTGACTTCAGATCAAACATGCATATTTCGTTTCGTTTCGCAGTGAGGTACATTGATGTCACTTAACTTCTTTGGCTAACGACAGCTATGGCCTTGTCGGTGGTCGTCTCTAACCGACTGCCCTATGAAACGGCCCTAACAAACCAGAGCCACCTCCACACACTAACGGGTGAAGGCCACGAACTCCGAGGAGTTCTCATCACTGTTCTGCTCCATCCAGTGACCTACGTCGCCGGAAGCGTAGTTGTACACGTCGTCCCACGTCGAACTGGAGCCGCAAATTCGAGTGGGTATCTTTTGAAAACTGCGGCGTGAGTCCATCGCCATGTTGGCGAGGGCGTCCGCCATTCTGTTGTGAGCACGCCGTTACCGCCAGTTTGTCTGCCAGCCGCCGGCTTTGCCAATACAGCGGTTGTAGGTGCTTAGCTCGAGGCGGAGTCCGCGTCTTCTGCTGATGAATGATGAGGTTGC